GTTAGTGTGTGTGTGTCTGTTAGTGAGTGTGTTGCTATGTGTGTGTCTGTTAGTGTGTGTGTCTGTTAGTGAGTGTGTTATTATGTGTGTGTCTGTTAGTGTGTGTGTGTCTGTTAGTAACTGTATTAGTGTGTGTGTGTCTGTTAGTGAGTGTGTTAGTGTGTGTGTGTGTCTGTTACAGAGTGTGTTAGTGTGTGTGTGTGTGTGTGTGTGTGTGTGTCTGTTAGTGAGTGAGTTAGTGTGTGTCTGTTAGTGTGTATGCATGTCTGTTAGTGAGTGTGTTTGCGTGTCTGTTAGTGAGAGTGTATGTGTGTCTGTTAGTGAGTGTGTGTCTGTTAGTGAGTGTGTTTGTCTGTTAGTGAGAGTGTGTGCGTGTCTGTTAGTGTGTGTGTCTGTTAGTGAGTGTGTTACTATGTATGTGTCTGTTAGTGTGTGTGTGTTAGTGAGTGTGTTAGTACGTGTGTCTGTTAGTGAGTGTGTATGCATGTCTGTTAGTGAGAGTGTATGCGTGTCTGTTAGTGAGTGTGTGTCTGTTAATGACTGTGTGTGTCTGTAAATGACTGTATGTGTCTGTTAGTGTATGTGTGTCTGTCAGTGAATGTGTGTGTCTGTTAGTGAGTGTGTATGTTGTCTGTTAGTGCGTGTGTATGTGTATTTAGAAGGTGGGGTTGAGGGGGCCTAGAGCAGCACAAAACCAGGATAGACCACTGATGCAGTACATGATGTTGTATTGTTGATGTTGTATTTCCCAACATATGCAGTATCTGTTTATTGGATGCAGTGTCTGTTTATCGGATGCAGTGTCTGTGTACTTAATGCAGTGTCTGTGTAGTGGTTGCAGTGTGTATAGTGGGTGCAGTGTCTGTGTAGTGGACGGAGTGGGTGTATAGTGGATGCAGTGTGTAGTTGATGCAGTGTCTGTGTAGTGGATGCAGTGTGTGTAATTGATGCAGTATCTGTGTAGTGAATGCAGTTTCTGTGTATTGGATGCAGTGTCTGTGTAGTGGTTGCAGTGTGTATAGTGGATGCAGTGTCTGTGTAGTGGATGCAGTGTGTGTGTAGTGGATGGAGTGGGTGTATAGGGGATGCAGTGTGTAGTTGATGCACTGTCTGTGTAGTGGATGAAGTGTGTGTAATTGATGCAGTATCTGTGTAGTGGATACACTGTGTTTAGTGGATGCAGTGTGTGTAGTCAATGTAGTGTATGTGTAGTGGATGCAGTGTCTGTATAGTGGATGCAGTGTGTACTGGATGCAGTATCTGTTTATTGGATGCAGTGTCTGTTTATTGGATGCAGTGTCTGTGTATTTAATGCAGTGTCTGTGTAGTGGTTGCAGTGTGTATAGTGGATGCAGTGTCTGTGTAGTGGATGGAGTGGGTGTATAGTGGATGCAGTGTGGGTAATTGATGCAGTATCTGTGTAGTGGATGCAGTTTCTGTGTATTGGATGCAGTGTCTGTGTAGTGGTTGCAGTGTGTATAGTGGATGTAGTGTCTGTGTAGTGGATGCAGTGTGTGTGTAGTGGATGGAGTGGGTGTATAGGGGATGCAGTGTGTAGTTGATGCACTGTCTGTGTAGTGGATGAAGTGTGTGTAATTGATGCAGTATCTGTATAGTGGATGCAGTGTGTTTAGTGGATGCAATGTGTGTAGTCAATGTAGTGTATGTGTAGTGGATGCAGTGTGTGTAGTTGATGCAGTATCTGTGTAGTGGATGCAGTGTCTGTATAGTGGATGCAGTGTGTACTGGATGCAGTATCTGTTTATTGGATGCAGTGTCTGTTTATCGGATGCAGTGTCTGTGTATTTAATGCAGTGTCTGTGTAGTGGTTGCAGTGTGTATAGTGGATGCAGTGTCTGTGTAGTGGCTGGAGTGGGTGTATAGTGGATGCAGTGTGTAGTTGATGCAGTGTCTGTGTAGTGGATGCAGTGTGGGTAATTGATGCAGTATCTGTGTAGTGGATGCAGTTTCTGTGTATTGGATGCAGTGTCTGTGTAGTGGTTGCAGTGTGTATAGTGGATGTAGTGTCTGTGTAGTGGATGCAGTGTGTGTGTAGTGGATGGAGTGGGTGTATAGGGGATGCAGTGTGTAGTTGATGCACTGTCTGTGTAGTGGATGAAGTGTGTGTAATTGATGCAGTATCTGTGTAGTGGATGCAGTGTGTTTAGTGGATGCAGTGTGTGTAGTTGATGCAGTATCTGTGTAGTGGATACAGTGTCTGTATAGTGGATGCAGTGTGTACTGGATGCAGTGTCTGTATAGTGGATGCAGTGTGTACTGGATGCAGTGTCTGTGTAGTGGATGGAGTGTGTGTAGTGGATGCAGTGTCTGTGAAGTCCATGTAGTGTGTGTGTTTTTGGTGTTGAATAAGGGCTGTGAGGGGTGAGCAGGTTTTTGTTTTTTATTTATATTTATGTTTATTCTCCCCTCCCTGCCTCTTACCTGTGGCCAGGGAGGGGTTCACTATATTCCCAGGTATCCGGTGGCACAGCATGCTTGTACAATGAAGAGGGGACCCATGAGTGTCATCTTCCACCACCAGCAACATCAGGCTTGCATGGAACACAATACATGCCGGAGCATTACCATGGCGACCCAGACACCGTACAGCAGGCTACTTAAAGTGTACATGGGGGCAAAATGCTGCCTCTGTCAAAGTGCTGCCTGGGGCCATGGCCCCATCACAGGCCAGCTCTACCTATGGGGAAGCATTGTATTGGCTGAGATTATCATCACCAGGGGCATAGTGGCGGCCGCAGTTAGACTGCCATGGTGTGAAACTAAAAGTAAATTAAACTACTTTATTTAAGTCTCAAAGGGAGTCTGTAAGGGGAATATGTAACAAGGTGTTTCCAGAGAAACTTACAAAAAGTTCAAAAGACTAGCAGACACACCTTACAGAGAACAGAGACGGCGAGATAACAATTACAATTTGCATAAATGCCATAGGTTTGCATGTGCCTGAATCCTTGTCATTGGACACCTGATAACATCCATATCCTGTATTGAAGACTCAAACAATATCCTGCCATGAAAAGAATGGCCAGACAATACCAGTGGAATTCTGAAATATTGTTGTGCAATTAGGCCAGATTCACTTAAACTCCTTATAACATTCCCTTTAGTATAATATTTAAATATCAAGGGCACACCCTAAGAAGTATGACATTGTCTACAAAAGCCTGTTGAAAAGAGCATACAATTTGCAATGTCCCTTAATTAACATGTTAATGAATAGCTAATCCTTAGAAAGACAATTACAGGATGCTGAGACTTTACAGTAACCAAGTGTTATCCAAATGTAAATAAAACTGTGAGGGGGTGGATTCTCAAATTGAAAACAGTCCCGTAAGGGACAGACACACTTTCTGAAGGGATAGTTATAGCTGGCTAATATCTGTCCTCTTACACTGGATTTGCTTGCCTGGCTGAATGAACATCATTTAAGATGGCAGCACATTTTTTCCTATCCGATCTCAAGCCTGAAAAGACTGTCCAAGAAGCAATAGAGCTACGTGAATTGACTTCAAACTCACAAAAGCTGGTAAAAAATATTTAGTTTATTAGTTCTGTTATACAATGTGTAATTATATTTATCTGATATAGTTATGGTACAGGTTCATCAATAGTGACTGAGTATTGATCTGTGTGCTATGAGAAACTGCCAATTGTGCTCTGTTTTAAAGGTGACTCTGCCTACTTGCTTGTGTTTTTGGATGCCTGCCTATATATATATATATATAATAACAAAGTATTTAACAAGGAAAGGTACATTCAGATTACTCTGGATTCCAAGTACGTCCAGGGGATGTTACTATTACCCAATTTAATGGTACTCGTCTATGTATGTTAGTCATAACCGTGCACCCAAAGAAAATTACCACCTCAACATCAATTAAAATGTAAAATATCAAAATACACATGAAGTCCTCTTCCACTGTCACGACTTGGTTCTCTGGTGACCCACTTTCTCTGGTGACTGCATTCACACCAGGCTGACTTTCCAATCCAGACGGACCTGCCCTGTTTCTGGGCTACACCAGTGATGCATTTACTGGCCAGTTCCTTTTTACCCTGCCCACTGGTGTCCTGACTAGCGGGGTGCCAATGTTGGAGGGGTTATGCATTTTAATCTGTAGTGATAACTATATGTATACAGAGACAGCCATGTTTTTTCTTTAAAAACATCACAAGCTAAACAATGTGCCGTCTTTAACAGGAGACCATTGAGGACAAACTGGCACTCATTAAAGTGTGCCTGGGTGCACCTTGTACAATCCCTCATACATACCTATGGTGCCAATGTGTGTCTCTGCATGTGTGCATGCCTATTTATGTACGTGTTGCTACGTAGCTTGGTTTGTTATGTGTACGAGTGGCTTTGAAAAACTGTATTTTTACAAAGATTTAAAATCTAATGCAGCATTTTTTTTTAATGGGTCTGAAATGGCATGGCTGGCATAAGCTATTAACTTTGCTATTAACTCAGAGACTCAATCATCAACTGAACTGAGCGAGTTTAATATGTAATAAAATAAATTCATTATATGCATTAGTTGGACTTTTTCCAATGTGAGTGGGGTCTGCACTACCCTTAGAAAAGCACGTCTGCTACAGTGAGCAATTATATAGTGACTGTACTGCAGACTGATGTGCATGCTCCAAGTTTTGAAGACCCACTGATAGAGCAAGAAGGCACACTGTTAGTTCCCTGGGGTTAGGAAATACCATGCTAATATATTTAGGCCCATTGAAAAAAGTTAATCCCACAAAGTTAAAGGGACCCTCTAAGAACCAGAACCACAACAGTTTCATGTAGTGGTTCTGGTGCAAAGAGGTTGCCCCTGTAGTCTCTCTATTTAAGCATATCCTAAAGAAAAAGGCACATTTTACATTTATCCCTAAGGATCCTGCCTCATATTCTATGGGTGAGGTAAATGGATAATAGTATTTGAGTCTGAATGAAGTTGAACTACAACTCCCGTGATCCTCCGGTGGAAGCCCTAGCCATGTAGCGGATGTGACGTCACGGGGTGCGGAAGTCAGCGGATGTAAACAGTGTGGGTGTGTGGTTGTGTCGGCGTTGGACATGTTGCAATTCAATGATTCCGACACCAGCCCCGCCGCCTTGGAGCTGCAGCTCAGCCCCGACAAGGGCTCGGCTACCCCACAACAACCCTCAGGCTATAACCTGCAGTCCCTGCGCTGCCTCACCGTGCACAACCCCACCATGCAGGCCCGAGTCAAGGAGTACTTCGTGTTCCGGGTGAGAGACTCAGGGCTGTCACCTCTCTGAGCGGCTGGCACTTCTAGGGTTAACCAAGTGTCATGTCATTGGGGTGTGATGGTCCTGCCAGGCACAGAGCTAATCATATCAGTGTCAGAGGGCTCGTGTGCTAACCCCCTTAACATACACAGGGTTAACTAGATCAGTGCCAAACAGGGGGAGGTTTATAGTCATGGCACTAATAGGGTTAACCATGTAAGTGGGATCTAATGGTCCTGCCACTCACAGAGCTTATCCTATCTGTGTCAGAGGGTTGATGTGTTAACCTTCTGGCATACACAGGGTTAACTAGATCAGTGCCAAACAGGGGGGAGGTTTATAGTCATGGCAATAATAGGGTTAACCATGTAAGTGGGATCTAATGGTCCTGCCACTCACAGAGCTTATCCTATCTGTGTCAGAGGGTTGATGTGTTAACCTTCTGGCATACACAGGGTTAACTAGATCAGTGCCAAACAGGGGGGAGGTTTATAGTCCTGACAATTTTGGGTTAACTATGTTGGTGTCATATTAGTAGAGTGTAATGCTCCTGCCAGGCACAGAGCTAATCATATCAGTGCCAGAGGGATGGTGTGTTAACCTCCCGGCATACACAGGGTTAACTATATCGGTGCCAAACAGGTAGGCGGTTTATAGCAATGGCATGCCAATGTCGCTGGTACACGCAGGGTTGCCCATTTTCCTGTTGTGTTTTTATAAACCCAACCTCCTCTAGATTGTAAGCCCGTTTGAGCAGGGTCCGCATTTGCCTATTGTTCCTGTAACATTTTGTGATTGTCTCATTTATTGTTAAATGTCCCCCTTTTTTTAATAATGTAAAGTGCTGCGGAATTAGTTGGTACTATATAAACACAAATAATGGTAATACAAAGGAGTGGCATGCCAATTCCTCTGGCACTAACAGGGTAAATGAAATTCATGCTAAAAAGGTCAGATACTGATGTTTATGGCATTTTTAGTGTTTACGGTATCTACGGGAATGAAGAGGTGTGAGACTTCTAATAAATCATATTTATTTAAACTCTTTCAACTGCTCTCCACTGTGTGTAATTAGTTGTTTAGTGTTTCAATACAGTGATATGTTTCCTTGTAAAAATTGATTGAATTCATAAACAGTTCAAGTGTGTGAAAATCTTTTTTCTGGCTAAGCAAAACGTGAGCTGAGAACATGGTGTTTTCATATTGTTGTATTTCAGGATACATTTGTTTTGATAAAGTTATCAAGCAGTTGTGAAAGCGTCAGCTAAAGCAATGTTTCTCAATCTTTTCCGGAGAGGTACCCCCTGCAGGTCTAAACAGAATTTCTAAGTACCCCGCCTCAAGAAAGTAATTTCTATTTTTTTTTAACTTTACATATAAAAATGCATAGACCCTGATATTTAATTTTATCCCATATTGAAGAACAAGCTTGATTAACAGTAGTAAAGAATATTTGTAAAATAAATATGACATAATGTGAATATTGTGCATGTAATATAAATATTAAGTAATAAAGTAAAAAATTTAAATATATACACACATACAGTTACACCCAGAGGGCACTATAACACACACACACGGTTACACCCATAGGGCACTATAACACACGCTGGGTTACACCCAGAGGAGAGGGCACTGAAACACACTCACAAATTTTATTTTTTCAATTCTTTTTGTTAAATCCACTCAGCCTTCCTACCTGGAGTGGACCCTTTCCCTGGCTGCTCTCATCTTTATGCTCTTCCAGCATTGCTCCTTCGCATGCTGTTTAGTAATGCCTTGACCAGAGTGACCTCAAAACTGGCTCACGACATCACCGCAGGGCGCGCAGGAGCAGTTCTGGAAGATCATGAAGAGTACAGCTCCCTCTCCACCTCCATTCTCCCCCAGTGGGCCGCCTCTGTGGGCGCACAGAATTCCCCCAGCACTTGGTGTGTGTACTTCTGGGGTACATGTACTAAGAGCTAAAGGATGCTAAATTTATTATGCAGTGCAAGTATTATTAAAGTGCTAATTTAAACATATGTTAAATGAATACATCACAATTACAAAGTGATATGTATTTATGCAGGTCCTACATGTGCTCATCATTAACAAGCACATATTCAAAAAAAACCAAAAATTTGAAATATGTTGTGCAAGTAAATACACTGTATATATTTATATATTAACAAGGATCTCCTTCGTAAAGTACAATTAGAAAATGTGATATACATATAGTGTTTTAAGTGTAAAAATAACCTTACACTTTTTATTTGCCACATTTGCATTCATGGAGGTTCAGTCCTAAGAGTATGTTGGAGCTCATTATGGAACTAAAATCACTTGCCCAAGTACAACAGCACTGTCAGTACAGAGCCATCGTCTTTTAAGACTTTGCAAACTTGCTCAATACAAACCTAAATAAAAACAATCCACTGGGAGAAATGAGCCTGCATTCGAGGTTACTGTGTTTTAAATTGTAACTCTCAGGGTAGAAGTGAATGTCACAAAAAATGTTGGTAACAAAATATTCCTTGGCAGCTTGAAAAATTTAATTTAGAACCTTCAGTGTTTAATTTATATGGTTTGACAACTGCCATGATTTTCGTGCACCCTTAGTCTTTATTTTGTATTAGATGCTTCTTTGCTAAAAGGTGAAAATAAAGTAGCGTTTCTATTTTTGTCTTCAGTTTTTTGTGAAGCTGGTATATTCATGTTTTTGCATTGTGACTCCAGCTGAATTGTAGCCAGAAGGCAGTCTGTCTTTGAGAGATGCCAATAAGTGTAGAGTTTGGGAAGGGATTTAGGTTTAATGTAAAATTAGAATAATTTAGTTATTGGTGCAGTTTCCCTAGTACCAGGGAAATTGGAACACACAAATCTGACCATTTTCAATAGTGACAGCTAAACATACAGCAAACGGAATTGCCAGAATTGCTCAAATAACCAAGTTTTCATTTTGAGACTAGCCAAATGTTTTCCATTTATTACCAACCTAAATGCAACATTGTGACTGTCTGTTTTTTTTTTGTTTTTTTTCAAGTAGAGTCTGAGCGTGTTTGTTTGAAAAAAGACACATAGTGAAAACGTTGTTAATAAAGGGATAATATTTATTTTTCCTTACATACTGCTTTGGTAGACCTGGTGTCCTTGCACCCTTAAATTGAAATTTGAATAGGTGGGTTTTCTTCCCTATCTCGCTGTTTAGTAGGCAAAGGCTTTCAAATGGCAAGCTTTTTGCTGAAACAGCAATATTTGTACAACTCAATTCCATTCTGCTGTTTTGGATTTTAGTGAATAGGCATTTAATTGAATTGAAAAGTAGGTGAATGTTAGCGATTCTCCAATTCTGCTTTAGTTGGCTATGTTAGTTTGAAATGTGAATTTTGACATTCCTTTTACCACAATTAATTGTTAAAGGAACTCTACAAGAACCATAACCATTACAGTGCGTTGTAGTGTTTATGGTACCGGGAGTGCCCTGGTGCTACCCCCTCTCCCCCCCCAATAAGAAGTCAAACTGTTTTGCTGACACGTTGACTTCTTGCCTGGGGTCTGCTGGGAGCTGCTCCCTACCTCCTCCACCTTCTAAAACAGTTTGACTTATTACAATGGGTAATGTCAAGGCAGACCTGGTACCTTAACCAATACGGTGCACTGATCTGGTTATGGTGATTTAATTATTCCTTTAAAGGGATACGCCAATCCCCTAATTACAAAATAAATAAAAAGCACTGTTTTCCAGATATACAACAGTGAAAACATGCATTTAATTATGCATATTATCATTGGGGTTGTAGCTGCAGTTCTCTTGTCTGCTGCCTTTGCAAGCCCTCCCCTACTAACCCCGCCCAGACTTGTTGTGGCTGTCCAATCACAGACATCCCCATGCAGCTCAGTGAGAAGTCTTTGCCAGGCAGGTGCTCTGTGAAAGGTAGGGAGGCTGGGTGGACAAATCATTTGTGAGAGTGAGTGTTGCAATATCAGTGTGTGTATCTTTAGTGACCTGCTCCCCTATTTACTTGGGAACGGTGTTTTTGCTCACTTTTTTTTCCCACGCCATGCTGGTGATGCTGCAGCTGGCGCCACCTCCATGGCTGAGATCATTAATCTTAAAAATCTCAGCCAAACCAATGCTTTTGAATAGGAAAGCATTGGTGGACTATTGCGTATGAGCGGCAAAGCGCCACGCTGCGCCAATCGACTTCTCCTCATAGAGATGCATTGAATCAATGCATCCCTTTGGGGTGCATTAACGTAGGTGCTGCACACTGTGCAGGAAGCACCTCTAGTGACCGTTTGAGTGACTATCCCTAGGTAGCAATGTAAACACTGCCTTTTTTCTGAAAAGACAATGCAGGGACAGGATATAGACCTCAGAACAACTACATTAAGCTTTAGTGGTTCTAGTGACTATAGTGTCCCTTTTAAGAATTCTATTTTTTACATTTATAAACCTGGCTCCTTGATTGCAAGCAAATTTGTCAAGCCCAGGTCGAGAATGTAACTTTAAGTTCATAAAGTGAGCTATACACACTATTGCTGCATTTTAAACAATCAGGTTTATGCACTAACGTGAATTTAAAGCTGATTTAAAAATTTAAGGTCAAAATACGTCTGTAAAAGTTGTATTTAGTTAGTCATTTTTATTAGGTTACTCTGGCTTAAAATGTGAAATTCCTTTGAATTCTAACAATATTGTGAATTGTTTTACTTTGGAGCTCTATGTTCATACACACTGCTTGTTGTTATCGATCTTTGTCATGGACCTTTTATGTACTGTACATGAAAGTGGGTTTTATTTCTGATGCAAACTTTTTGTTTAACAGGATTTCTGTCTGAGCTATGTCCCTCTGAAACAGGAACTCTCAGTAAATAAGTGTTGGCTATATGTGGTCACCTTCTATACGAAATACATGAATTGCAACATTAGACACAGGATGGTGGCATCATCTGAACGCAACCACATTAATTTATTTCACATCCAAAAATGCATGTACCTCGTTTACTATTCGTAGGACATTTTAAGGTTGATTATCTAGGGCAGTGGTTCCCAACTCAGTCCTCAAGTACCCCCACCAGTTCAGGATTTAGGGATTACCCAATTGTGTCTAAGGTGTTTTTAAAAAGGAAAATAAAACACTAGGGGAAGGCAGACAGTGGATAAAACTGATGTAGATCAGTCTCCTGTCAGCTTCCATTCAGGCCATATTTCCGGGCCCATTGCACTACAGAGCAATTCGACGTCTCAAGGCCTTCTACCTACGCAGATCCGCTTCATACGATCAACTGATCTCGCTAACACACGAAGTCAGATTGTAGCTGGATTGGTGGCTTCACAATATGGAAGCATGGAATGGAAAGGCGATATTCGACTCCCTACCAGACTTCATCCTGGAATCAGATGTCAGCATCTCAAGATGGGGTGCCACTTGCTCAGATATCTCCACTGGAGGCCTTTGCACACCCTCAGAGCGGACCTTACACACAAACTCTCGAACTGATTGCCGGTTCCTTCGCAGTCTGCAGTTTAGCGAAGGACGCATACAATTGTTCACTGACTGAGGATGGACGTCGCCGCTGTCCATTACATCGACCGCTCCAAACTACTCTTGGATCTGACAAATGAACTCTTATCAATGTTGCCTGACCAGGAACATCTTCCTACAGGCAGAATACCTACCAGGCTCAGACAACCTGGTGGTGGACTGGTTCTCTTGCAACTGGAGAGACACCAGCGATTGGCAATTGGACCCTCACATTTTCCATCTCCTTCAAATGTCTTGTGGCCCTCTCTATCTGGACCTCTTCGCGTCCCACTTGAATTGCCAGACCGAGGCCTTTTTTTAGCTGGTTCCCAGACCAATCCTGTCATGCAGTCGATGCATTCCTGCAACCTTGGCCGAACTCAAGAGCACACGTCTTCTCACTGATTCCTCAGACTCTGCAGAAAATCAGAACCCTAAGAGTCACAGTACTTCTGATTAGCCCTCTATGGAGGACACAACCTTGGTATCCCAACCTATTGGAATTGTCTGTAGACTTCCCTCTCCTTAACCCTCTTCCGCTCTGATATCTCCGTGGCTCACACTCCTGTCAATTACTCTTCCGTGGGCAGACGTCTACGTGGTATTAGATTGACCAGTTCTGGGACGTATCTCAGGTTTTCATTTTTTATTTTATTTTTGGAAACTTGGCCTTCCAACTTGGATATCACTTTACGACAGCTAATCCGCTAAACTAGCCCTGATTTTTATGTTTAGTCTCCTTCCGGAGAGTTTCCGATGTCAAGGCTTTTGACTTACATGCGCTTGTTTTCACTCCTGATGGTGTTAGTTTTTCCATTTCCCGTCCAACTAAGATACTTTCATCTTCCGTTTTTTTTTACCCGAATTTTTCAGATAGACCATCACTTTGCGTGGCACGTTGTCTACGCCAATATGTGGACCTCACTACCCCACTCAGATCTCCTTCATGACCACTATTGATCTCTTATGTTCGTCTCCACCGACTGGTATTACGTCCTACGATTGCTCGGTGGATCAAATGGCTTCTCGGTCTTGCTGGTGTTTACAACTCCTTCGGGGCTCATTCAGTTCGAGGAGCGGCGGCTTTCTCTGCTGTCTTAGCAGGAAGGGCACCCTTTCAGATTCCTGGATTACATGGTTGAGGACACAGTTTACTTCATTATCTCCGATTGGTGCAGCTGCATCATGAGGAAGTGGGAGGAGCTTCATTACCCTTTGTTACTGGCACCGTTTAATGTGGTTGAATTTTTACTTTACACAGTAAACCATTTCTTTGCCGCTGGGAGGTTTGAATAAAGAAAGTAAAGCAAATATCCGCCTCCTGTCTTTAATTAAATTTAGATTATTAGGTCATTAACACTAGAATAATCCCTAATTTAAACACCATTTTCACCTGATGTGTTGAAAGAAAATCAAAAAGATGATGTGTTGAGGTCAACAGGCTCGGGACATAACACAGGATATGTCTGAGGTTTTACACTTGCTTCTTAGCATCCAGGTTACAAGAAACCATAGCTCAAGAAGAGATTTAAATGAATGTATAATTTTTCTTGCAATGCTACACATAATGTACAGATAAAAGACATTTTTAATTTTGACTGGTTTTGTAACTTCTCTGTTGTTCCACTCCACAACTAGTCGAGAAACTAGATATCCTCACTGAGCTAAGCAGGTCACTCACTGATTCAGAGTTTAGTGGAGCTAACTGGATTCTCTTGAAGGTAGGTCTGTGCCTGCAGACATCTGGCTGGATCCAGATTAGTTGTCAAACCATTATAAAATGTCTTGACAGATTACTCTGGGAGTATGTCAGGACACAGCTGGTGGTTATGTTGCCTGGAGTGTTTCATTAGGTTATTCGTTAAATACGGGTATGCTATTTATAAGTGTGTCCTGTTTAAAGCACTGATGAAATCAATAATTTTGTCATTACTAACTACCCGTTTCATTTATTTTGTAGCCTGGAACTCTTGAACAAGCTGTGAATGATATTCGTATGGTTGTTTTGCCCACAGAGGATGGTGAAGTACACAGTGTCTGGCTGCTCACCGAGTAAGTCATAAGAGAGAGTGTATATTAACATTTTAGGTAGCCAAAAAGTTCTCTTTACTTGTTTAGTCATGTCTTTTTTCCAAATGTCTACATGTCTAATAATGACATGAGTGTGTTATTTTACAGAATCTCACAACTCAGACACTCAAAAAATTAAAGGGACACTCACTTTAAGAACCAAAACAACTGTAGCTTAGTGGAGTGGTTTTGGTCTAGAGAGACTGCAGTCACACTGCTCATTTATTTGCCATTTAGGAGTAAATCTCTGTTTATGCATCCACACAAATCAATTGCCAGGAGTCCATGCTAATGCTGTGCATGAGTACAATAGTAATGTCTGTGAGTAAGACAATGAGACAATGCCAGATTCTTACTTGCTGTTGGTAGTGATATTTTTTTGTCAATATTTGTCAGCTCAAAACTTTACCAGTAGATAAAGTATATCTTAGACATATATTTTAACTGTATTGGAATTCAGTGAAAGAAGATTGTATCTTTATGAAATGATCAATGTAGCAGTTGGGTGCTGCCACCTGCACACTAACTTTCAGTGCCAAAAAAATTGAAATTCTATACAATAAGCCTCTAAGTCATTATTAGACTTACACATGTACAATAAAAGTAAAAAAGTGTCCATCTGAGTGACTGCCACTAGAGTTGTTAATAGGCATGAATGTAAACATTACTTTTTCTCTCAAAAGGCAGGGTTTACAATGAAAAGCCTGCAGTGACATGCTATATACACTAGAACAACTACATTAACCCCTTAAATCCGGAGGGCGTACTATTACGCCCTGCAGGAGCTGGCTCTAAACACAGGGTGTCACTGCAATCGGTATTTACCGTGTGTCAGCCGATTTTCCCCTGTGCAGATCGCAGTCGGGGGACATACCCTGGGGTCAGTGACCGCGATCTCAGAGCGCTCTGATCGCAATGACAGCCTGTCACTGCGCTCAGTGTTACATGTGTCAGCCTAATGGCTGATACATGTAACAGGCGCCATGATCCCCCTGCAGATCGGTAGGGGGAGTGCTTGTACCACCCAGGCACTCCCCCCTGTGGTCAATTACCCAATGTGCAGCAAGTGATCACAATGACAGCCAGTCACTGTGATCACTATTACTATATGTCTGCCAATGACCTCAAATCAATGGCTGACACATTGTTTCTGCCCCTCACCTCACTTCGATCTGAGAGAGAGAGGCAGAGACATTGTTGGTTTTACAGCTCCTGTGAAAAGAAAAGGTTGTATTACTTTTAAAATGTTTTATTTAACCCTTTCAGTGCTGATCACAGCTTATCACTGTCATTAGCCTGACTAGGGCATCTAGTACTTTTGTACAAAATTTTGGGGTAAAAAAAAAATAATCTCATTATTTTATTTTTTTTACCCTTTGTGTCAGTTGCAGCAACCCAAATCTCCATTACCCTTTCCCCGCTGCCGTGATCACTGTACTGTACAGTATATCTGCTGTACGGTACTATATCAGTGATCACTGTGATCAGAGGGCTCTCTGATCAGGCTGACTTTTTATTTATTTTTTGGCTACTACAAAAGACTGGGCATACCCCATTTTGAATACCCTGGGATGTCTACTTTTTCAAATGGTATGCCATGATGGGGGTAATTTTTATTTTTTGGCTGCCATGCAGTCTCAAAGGCAACCTAGGCCCAGCAAACCAATCTGTCAAATTTATATGTAAAAAATAAAATAAAAAAAATAATGGACAAGCTGTATATTTGACCCTATAACTTTCCAGAACCCTGTAAAACGTATACATGAGGGTTACTGGTTTACTCGTGAGACATTTCTGAATACAAATATATGTATGTTTTATTGCAGTAAAACCGAACAGTATTGTGACATTAACCGTTAAATTGACATGCAGAAATTGAAAAATAGCAAAATTTATTTTCTTTGGTTTGTTTACATTTTGTTTTGATCACAACTTGTACATTTGGCTCAGTCCTTAGGAGGTTAAGCTGTAGTGGTTCTGGTGATTTATAGTGTCCGTTTAATTTGCCAAGAATACATTTTTATTTTTGTTTTGTTTTTTTACTACCCATCTCTTTTTACAGTTTCAACAATTTGCATGATGGTCATTTTCTTTACCCCATGAATTTTAACAAATGAGTGACACATAGTTCTGTGGATGCTATTTAAACATCAGGCTTAATAGACAACCAATATAATTTTCACACTTTACCACAAACCTATTCTAGAAAGGTGTGATTAGGCAGTATATTTATATATAGATTATTTTTATGATTGTGTAATTCTGTTTATTTTTTCCAACAGAGTTGATCATTGGAATAATGACAAAGAACGTCTGGTACTAATCACTGATAAATCTCTCTTGATCTGCAAGTATGATTTCATTAGCTTGCAGTGTCTGCAAGTGATCAGAGTGTGCCTCAACGCCATTGATACAATTTCTATTGGAGAGTTTGAGTTCCCTCACATGTCTCTCAGCAAGTAAGTTGTCTTCTCTTTTGTTCAAAGAGTATCTGGTGCATTCCTACAGCATATGTGTGTAGTGCTTAACCCCTTAAGGACACATGACGTGTGATATGTCATGATTCCCTTTTATTCCTGAAGTTTGGTCCTTAAGGGGTTAAAGAGGGTTTGTCATCAAAACTATTTATAATGCAGCAGAGGTTGCCTGTTTTAAATGTTTTTTGTAGCAGAATTTAGTAATTGGATGTGGTGCTACACTTGCTGTGACTCAATGGTATCTTGGGGAGATTGAATTACCCTGATGGTGTACATATAAAACACGGGGGGGTTGTGCGATTCTTACCCTGCTTGAGAGCGCACTTTGCCTGCACACTGGGAGAATAGTAATTTGCTACTTTACCAGTAAATAACTTAATCTATATCTGTGGAGTTACGGCTGCTGAGAGCTGCAATCCAATATTAAGTAGAAGACTAAGAAGGAATGAAACCGCTTAGTCTGTATTAAATCAATTCTTGGTTCCCCAGTCCATGTTTTAGTATTATAGTTATTCTAACTCCTGGCCTCTATTTGTTTGGTTTTTCCTCTAGACGAGAAGGTATTGGAATTCGTATTCTCTGGAATAAAAGCAGCCGCACCTCTTTTGTAAATAAGTGGAATCCCTGGTCAAACAATATGCCTTACACTACATTCACTGAGCATCCCATGGCTTTAGCGGAAGAGAAGATTGTTCCACTGTGCAAGGTAAGTGTGATGTGCAAAAAGGACAAAAAGATGAACAAACAGTTCATTGCTACACAAGTGGCAGGATGTTTTTTTGTTTAACCAGATCACGCCGCTCCGACTCTTAGGCTGAGATAATCAGTCTTCATGATCTCAGTCAATCCAATGCATTCTCGTAGGAAAGCATTGGGAGGCTAATGTGCATGCACGTCAAAATGCTGCACTGAGTCTATTAGCATCTCCTCATTGATCAATCCATGCAGAGTTTGGAGATGCTGAATGTAGGTGCTGCACACACTGCAGCAGTGGAGTAGGAAGCACCTCTAGGTGGTTGTTTGAGTGTCTCCTATTAGGTGTTGCCAGACTTCAATGTAAACATTGCCTTTTCTTTGAAAAGCCTGCAGGAACAGGCTATAGACAAGTGGTAGTCAACCTTTTTCTACCTACTGCCCACTAATGCATCTTTTTGGTTGAAAACATTTCCTTACCGCCCACCAGTTTTCACGCAAGTGCAGAATATTTTTTAGAAAGGAGGGTGTTTAAAAAAAAAAAAAAGTACACACATTTAGCTTTTTATTTTTACTTAACCCCTTCATGACGGAATCAATAGTGCATGTTCTGATCAAAACAAAGCATAAATAAAAACCGTAAATCACTGCTGTCACATTAAGTGCACCCACACTTATTATATATCATTTTGTTCAGGAGAAACAGGGCTTTAATTTATCATTAACTATTCATATATGGAACATAATTTATTATGAATAAAATAAAAAAAAAATGTGAGAAAATAAGATTTTTTTTTTAATTTGTATTTCCGTCTGACATTTTAGCTGTGAATGTTGTAATACTGTTAGGTTTTACTGCAAAAAAAATGCACATATTTGTAATCAGCGATGTCTCACGAGTACAACAGTACCCCCCATTAAAAGGTTTTATGGTATTTTGGAAAGTTACAGGGTCAAATATAGAACGTTCCATTTTCACATTGAAATTTGCCAGATTAGTAATGTTACCTTTGAGGCGGTGTGGTAGCCCAGGAATGAGAATTACCCCCATAATGGCATACCATTTGAAAAAGTAGACAACCCAAGGTATTGAAAGTGGGGTATGTTTAGTCTTTTTTAGTAGCCACTTAGTCACAAACACTGGTCAAATATTAGTTTTTTGCTTTTTTTCCACACAAAAATAAATTTGAACGCTAACTTTGTGACTAAGTGGCTACTAAGAAAGACTGGACATACCCCACTTGCAATATCTTGAGTTGTCTACTTTTGCAAATGGTATGCCATCATGGGGGTAATTCTCATTCCTGGGCTACCATACGCTCTCAAAGGCAACATAACCAATCTGGCAAATTTCAATGTCAAAAAAATGAAATGCAAGCCTTATATGTGACTCTCTAACTTTCCAAAACACCATAAAACCTGTACATGAGGGGTACTGTTATTCTCGGGAGACTTCACTAAAGACAAATATTAGTGTTTTAAAACAGTAAAACATATTACAGCAATAATATAGTCCATAAAAGTGCTGTTCGTTTGTAAAAAAAATGCAAAAAAACTTCACTTTTACTTAAAATATCATCGTTGTAATACAATGTACCAGTTTGAAACACTAATATGAGTTCAGCGAAGTCTCCCGAGTAAAACAGAACATCCTATGTACAGGTTTTATGGTGTCTTGGAGAGTTACAGGGTCAAATATAGTGCTTGCGAATTAAATTCTCTGCACTTTCAGGCATGTCAATCACATTTTAATTAATCAAATCACATAATTATGTTAAAAGATTACTTAAATATACATGTAGAATTTTAATATATATGCATTTATAGGTATTTAAATTCTACGTGTATACTAATGTAAATTATGTAATTATGTGTGTGTGTATGTATGTGCATATATATATATATATATATATATGTGCATATATATATATATACACAAAACACAGTTAGAAAGAAATTACATATGAATATATAATTTATATAAAATTTTGTTTCAATTTTTTATTTTAATATATATATATATTAACATCATTCTAAGTGTATTTTAATACGAATATATATATACTTATATTAATATTAAAATACATTAAGTATGACATTAAATATATATATTTATTTTATTTTATAACTTGTTTAATAATATTTTTTTTTTTTACTTTCCCACCAGCAGGGGGACTGTCTGATATTTCAGACAGTCCCCCTGCTGGCAGATCCACAGCCAGCTACAGGGGGCCATGTGATCGCTATTTGAGAGCGATCACATGGCCCCCGGGGGCCTCATTTGCCATGGGAGGGCTGCCTGGTCTGCGAGGCAGTCCTACTGAAGCGGAGCGCCGGTTAGGTAAGTATCCCGGACGCTCTGGGGCTCAAAGCCATTACGGCGTTCTATGCCGCTGGGACGGCATAGAACGCCGTGAAGGGGATAATGCGTGTTTATAATGTTTTTAACTTTATAAAGTTTAATGAGAAAACAAAGTAAATTGAAATTACCTTTAGTAGTGATAAATGAGATCCTTGAGGTTGATGCTGCAAGACTAAATATGTGATATCTGGTTCAATTTTCGTAAGGAACAAACGAAGGTCTCCTCTTTCGGTGATATTCAGACTACTTCTCTGTTTGCGCATAATATGATTTCTCATCTGTGCGTCAGCTCCCTCCCCATCTTTTTTTTCTTTTTAAATTTTTTTTTTTAACCTTCCTTATAGCAATGCCCAGTAGGAAGCCTGAGCTAGGTATCCCACTTACTATTACTTACTATAGCCCACTATAACAGACAGGCATACATACACACACACACACATTATTAAGTGTTCTTGCAAGAACACTTATTGTTATCTCACATATATATTATTCTTATTATAGCCAAATTTGCCACCCTAACTCCTCCCACAGTTTTTACACTACATAGACCAAAATTTACCAAAACGTGCAGATTGTTCCCGATCGGATTGCTATTACTTTGTGGAACGTTTCGCCGAATGGTTCACGGAATATCGTCGTTCTTGTGGCGAAATTTGTCCCATAGGAATGAATGGCAAAGCTAGAGTGGGAGCTGGCAAAAGCTGAAAAATCAGGACATGATTTCTAAACTGCCACCACTCCCTTATTTTCAGGCCCACCTACACAAATCTTATATCAAAACGTTCAGCTATCCCTGCTGCCACTAAACATGTCAACGGCTAAGCCATAGTCCTGATAGTTTTCACAATATAATCATTTGTTTGCAACTAACGCCGTCCATTGACATTCATTGAAACTTCACTCTGCAAAGCTCAAATTTGAAGTGCAATTTCTAAACTGCGACTGTGCCTTCAATTTTAATACTTCAGAGACATACTATGCATCAAAATGTAGGTCTGGGTCTTGTGATTCTCACAATATAAAGCTCTTCACTGTAGGAGTTATAGTTTTTAAGATACGACCGTTTGAAGATGGCAACCACCAAAATACTCTGACCTGTCAAGGCTGCAGCAGCAAGTGATGTCATAGACAGGGCCTTTTGAACACCTGCTAATGTTTTTATAAATGTATGGTTTAATGTAACTGTGCAACAACATTGCAATTAAATGTGCTATATAAATGATAACAGTTACTCCTCCCACTCCAGTTGTAGACTACTGGTGGAGGCAAGAACACTTCACACAATTTCCCCAGAAATTGTAGCTTTTCTAGTTATTATTATTATTATTATTATGATATTTATAGAGCGCCGTCAAATTCCGCAGCACTTTACAATGGGTGGACGAACAAACATGTAGATGTAACCAGACAAGTTGGACACACAGGAACAGAGGGGTTGAGGGCCCTGCTCAATGAGCTTACTTGCTAGAGGGAGTGGGGTAAAATTACACAAAAAGGTAAGGATAGTATTAGACTAGTGACAGTTGCAGAAGAGGAATCAGTCAGGAGCTATTAACAGTTTAATACGCTTTTATGAAGGAGTGGAGACTGGGTGAGCATCTAACGGAGGAGGGAAGTGAGTTCCACAGGAAAGGTGCAGCCCTCGAGAAATCTTGAAGGCGAGCATCATAGGTGGGATTACAGACAGAAGATAGACGTAAGGGCCTAGAGGGGACATACTTGTGTATTAGGGAGTATAGATAGGTGGGAGCAGCATTATGTAGAGATTTGAAGACAAGAACCAGAATTTTAAATTGAGCTCTATTTTATAGGAAGCCAATGTAGGGACTGACAGAGGGGTGAGGCATGAAAGGTGCGGGCGGACAGGAAGATGAGCCTCGCCGCCGCATTCATTATGGACTGTAACGGCGCAAGTTGGGAGCACGTAAGACCACTGAGAAGCGGATTACAGTAGTCAAGGCGAGAAAGGACAGTGGAATGGACCGACACCTTAGTCGCATCTGGCGTTAAGTAGGGGCGGATGCGCGCAATGTTTTTGAGATGGAAATGACCGGATTTGGCAATCGATTGAACATGAAGCTTGAAGGAGAGGTCAGAGTCAAACAACAACTAGGCAGCGAGCCTGCGTGGTGGAGCTGATGGTAGCACCGTTGACTTGGATGGAGACAGACACAGTAGTAACAATACTTGAGGGAGGAAAGACCAGAATTTCAGTTTTGGTCAAGTTTAGTTTAAGGAAGTGGGCAGCCATCCAGTTAGAAGCAGCAGAGAGGCAGTCAGAGAGACTAGTCAAGAGAGACGGGGAGAGATCAGGACAGGTAGATTTGCGTGGCATCTGCATAGAAATGATATTGGAAGCCAAAGTAGCTAATGAGTTTACCAAGGGAGGCAGTATAGATGGAGAACAGTAGGGGACCAAGGACTGAACCTTGGGGGACACCAACAAAGAGGAGTTGGGGAGAAGGAGCAGAGCCAGAGAAAGAAACACTGAAAGAATGCTGGGAGAGGTAGGAGGAGCACCAGGAGAGAGCAATATCTTGTAGACCGATATTGCGGAGGATGAGAAGAAGCTGTTGATGATCAACAGTGTCAAAAGCCGCAGACGGGTCAAGGAGAATTAGGATAGAGTAGTGACCACGAGATTTTGCAGCGAGTAGATCATTGGATACTTTGGTCAGTGCCGTTTCCACAGAGTGCTTAGCCCGGAAACCAGACTGAAGCGGGTCTAGGCGAGAGTTGGACTCGAGGAAGTCTGTCAATCTCGCATACACAACTCTTTCAAGGATCTTGGATGCAAAAGGCAGTAGCGAGATAGGACGATAGTTGGATGGGGAGTTAGGGTCAAGATTGGGCTTCTTTAGAATTGAGGTTACAGTTGCATGTTTGAAGGGCAATGGAAATATACCAGAGGAGAGAGAGAGATTGAGAATTTTAGTGAGAGGTTAAGAAAGAGAAGAAGACAGAGTACGGATGGGGTGGGGCGGGGGGGAGAAGGGGGGCCTGCAGCGTTTAAATGTACAAGGTGCCATGATGTCTAGTTGAGAGGAGAGGGTGGAATTGTAGAAGGAGGTTGCAGAACTAGGACAGGTGAGGTTTGATATCAGTGGAGAAATGCTCTAGGTCAAGACATTGGAGGTTTCTGTGAGAGTGATGTTCGGACGGTGATGTCAATTGGGTCTTAGGTATGCCAATGTCAAAAGTCAGCAGATGGTGGTCAGAGGAAAATAAATATTGGAGAGATTAGAGGCAGGACAGAGGTTGGTGAAGGCAAGATCAAGAGTGTTTCCTGCTGTATGGGTTGCTAAATTGGACCATTGTGGAAGGCCAAAGGAGGAGGTTACAGAGAGCAGACGAGAGGCATCAGTGCAATTGGGGTTATTGATTGGGATATTGAAATCCCCAAGTATAAGGGAAGGAGTGCTAGATGAGAGAAAGTTGGGAAGCAAGGAAGAAAAGTGCTCAATGAATAGTCTAGGATAACCGGGGGGGCGGTAGATGATAGCAATTCTTAAAGGAGTGGGTTTAAATAGGCAGACAGTGTGAACTTCAAAAGAAGAAAAGGATAGGGCAGGGGTAGTTATGATTGGTTGAAAGGTACATCGAGGGGAGAGAAGGATGCCAACGCCGCCTCCTTTACAGTTGAGTCTGGGAGTGTGAGAGAATTGTAGCCCACCAAAACATAAAGAGGCAGGAGTAGCGCTATCAGAAGGGGACAGCCTGGTCTGTCAGTGCAAGCAGTGTGAGTGAGTTTGAGATGAAAAAGTTGTGTATGGTTGTAAGACATACATACAAAGACACATACATAAGACACATACATAAGACACATACATACAAACAAACACACACAAAATATTTTAGTCACCCTTCTGTTTCCTACCTTTTAGGTGCAGGAGGGTGACTTTCCCTCGGGTCCAGTAATGGTTCAGTTGGATGGGAGTCAGGGTTCCCACTCTGAGTCCCTTGTCTTCCTCCCGCGCGGCTCTCAGTATTAGCTGGGAGGAGTTACGTGCAGTCACTTCCTCCCAGCTCTGTGTGATGTTATCATAGGGGGCCCGGTCGCGCTGTTAAAGCGCCCAGCGCTGACCGGGCCCCTTTACAATCCACATCCATCGGGTGGCCCTGACCGCATGCGCCACCCGATGGACCCCTCCATATGCGGCCCCAGCAGTTTGCAGCGCGGGCTGGGGCCAAAAGTGATGATGGCGGTATCCGGTCGCATGGTTACCGCCGGCTCCCGCCCGCACAATCTCTCAAAATTAGAAAATCCCTACCACCCACTAGTGGGCGGTAGGGACCAGGATGACGACCCATGCTATAGACATAAGAACCACTACATCAAGCTGTAGTGGTGACTATTGTCTCTTTAATGTTATTGAAGTATGGATGTTTAAAATGGTGGGTGAGTAAGATCCCACAATGCCTAGCATTCTGTAGAGGTCCAGATCCAAGTATGTATAAACAATATATATATATATTACATATTTGCTAGCGATTTTGCAAGCATAATGTCTAGTTCCATTCTTGTACATTACTTGAATAGACATACGTGTATTGAAATACACTTTCAGGATTACTTACTAAACTATGAACTGCCTGAAATTCGCCAGGTGACTGCAAATTTGAGGTCAAAACAGCTGAGCTAGAAATTGTTCTCCAAGTAAGTTATGTTCACAGTTGGTGCTAAACTTGCAATTGTTGCATGTTGAATTCCTAACAACTCACTGTTTAGTGATTAACCCTGTTTGTGACTTCCTCTTCCTGAAAGACTCATTCTAATGAGTTAACGAAAAGATTAGACTATTTCAGAAACAATATTTGAAACGTTCATGCTTTATTTTACAGTTGGAAAACTTCCGCGTCCAGTTGATTCAGGCAGTAAAGAGAGCGCATCGGGAGAATCCATTGCCAGGAAGAGCTAATGGGGTACTTGTTTTGGAACACCCACTAATGATTGAAACCTATGTGGGACTAATGTCTTTCATCAACAATGAGGCCAAACTTGGATACTCTATGTCAAGAGGCAAAATTGGATTTTAATTAGGAAGGAAAAAAAAAGCAATGCCTTTTGTTTAAAGTTACATTTACGTGGATCTCTTGACTTGCTAAATTTCCTTCATCAAAAAAAACAACAAAATCAAGTAAGGTATATCTAGGGCAATGATGGGCAGCCAACAGCTCACATGACCCTATTGCCAGTAATAAGCTGCCAATTCTAAATCTACAATCAGTGCCAACCAATTGGCTGTGACTGGCAAAGTATCATGACAGTATATTAGCAGCAGGACAACAGTTTTCCTATCGCGGATAGGAAAAGAAAACAGAACAAGTTTCTGATCAAACATGTTTTTCATATGGACCAGATTTTACCCATAGCGCAAATAAGATCTGCTTTAAACAAGTACTAAAAGTTCAGCTATACATTTCTGTAGTAAAATTGCAAGTAAACATCTTGATTTATAATATTAAAATACATACTTACCTATACGTTCTGTTCAGATATTATGTGATGCATGTTCCCCCTAGAATGCCAATATATGCACATAATTCCATGGCATTCTAAGTTAGAGGTGAGCATTGTAAAATACATGCAGGAGTCCCTGGAATTCAGTGACCATCACTGTAGTTTATATATCTAGATCAGCTGTAAAGGGGTATTAGCTTGATCTTTCAGTACTGAAATACTGTATCAAGACTTTTCTTATCAAGCATTGTGTATATGATGTCACCAGGTGAAAATAAACCTCTTGCAGTTGGCATTATTTGTTCACAAGCACAAAATACAGTGTATTTCACAGTTCATGAAACGTACAATGTATTATTTAATGTGTGTATATAGCTATTTGTGTTAATATGTTTGTAATGTTGACTTTCAAATTCTGTATTTTTTATTTATGTCCTATGTTTGTCCTTGAATACATGGATGTATTACTTTTAGTACTTTGCAAAGATGATGCACCTTATTCCTACATGCCAAGTAACTAAACTCTTTTCTACAGTTTGGTTTAATTAATTGTCAAAAGTGTGTTGCACATGGAATTGTATTTTGATCAGTTTGATTGTAACAAAGGCCACTGGATTTTTTTTCCCTCTTTCACTTCACATTACTTTGTTGGGACTTATTGTCTAAAAAAAAAAACTGTATACTATTAGGTTATATAAAAGGGCGATTTCACTGCAGTTTTTAGTAATAAATTTACCAAATGTAGCGTTAACACTGGAATCAAAGCTGAGATGATAAATTCTGTAAACCTTCCTGAAATGAACACTCCTTTTAATGTAGATTTTTTTTTTTTTGGCATTCTGCAACATTGCACCTCACTGCTGAACTCAATGCAGTTTCTATAGATTCACCTAATGGACCAAGCATCTACAGACTGTAAAAAGTTTGTCAATGTAACGTGACAAATTTAAGACAGAGGGAAAGTATTCACAAACATTTTGCTCTTTGCACGCAGAAAGATATGCGCATGCTGCCAATACAAAGACTTCACTGTTTGTGTGATGATTGGAGCTAGGCATGCCTGTCCCCTCACAGCACCACTCAGAGAGATGAGGTAGTTTTTGGATTTGCAGAAGCTCATCTCCAAGTAGAAGCGTTACACTAACTTATTGATGTTATTTGGTATGCAAAGTGGGAACTTTAATTCATGGCTCTCTGCCTAAACTGACTGGCAGTGTGACCTAGAATTTTAACCTATGTTTAATTTCAAGCCTGATTTGTCACTTTGACAAATTTGTCAAACCTAAGGGTGCAGTAACAGGGTCCTAGAATCATAACCACTTCAATAATCTGAAGTGGTTATGGTTTCTAAAGAATCCTTTAAAACTTGTAAAGAGTAAAAATATCTCCCACTTTGGCTCTTTTGGTTTAAATCATGTAACTCTTTAAATTAAAATTTTAAGTGGATAACTCCTTTGCTTGATAAAAGCCAATATTTCTGTTGAATGCTCTAATAGTGCGATTAATGCTTTTCCATCATGCACCACTTATATATTTTAGTTTGACTTCTATTGTATCTAAACAGTGCATTAAACATGGATTTGCCTTTAAGTCTGGCTACAAGTCCATTAAAATGTATGTACCTCCTACAGTATTATTTGGATAGCCATTTGAACCCTTTTGTCAGGCACATGGAAAATGTAAATGTGACTAGGCCTGGTATTGCAGAGTTTGTGTTCTAAAGTTCCCATTACATTGTGGGAAATGTAGTCTATATGAATCTGAAGTGCCAAGGTTACTTATTTCAATAAAAGAGCCTCACCTCCTACAAATGTGCTAATGCAGTGTGTAGGGCACTCTAAGGGCAAACCGAAATTACATCAAGTTTATTGCCCATTTACAGAAAAGACTGGGCATGATAGCCATTCAAATAAATTGTATATGAAAATGGTTGTGGTAAGTTCTAACATGCCATAACTTGTCAGTGTATGGTATAATTGTTGAAAGCCACATAAGATGAAAAAAAAAAAAAAAAGCTATTCTAGTCTATATTTCTAAACTCTAGTTCTGTCACTAAATTCTATTTAGGTGTAGCTTTGGAACACATGCTAAATTGAATATTGTTGCTAATTGCACATATCACTAACTCTGCTGCTATACATTTAGTTCTTTACTATGGTGTTTCTAGATTTTTATGCAAGTTTCGGGATCTGGATTGAAAGGTCTAAGCAGTATACTTTCCACTTTTTGTTACAAGTTCAGTATTCAATGCATGTTAATACATTGAACTGTTCCTTTGTTTTAAACGCTATGAATTTTTTGTCCATATGTCATGTACTAAATATTTTAATGTGTTTCTCGGTGCATAATATTGGAAATAAAGTTGTAATATACTGTGTTTGTGTTTTATTTAAACAACTTCAATAACTAGTATTTAAAGGGACACTTGAATTGCATAAAACTAAACTTGCTGTGTGAAAAATATTTTTCCATTTTACAAAGTGCAGACTAATGGAAATTGGCAGTTTTATAAATTAACCAACCCCATCCCCCACCCTGCTCTCAGACAACCGGTCTTGTTACTTCCTGGTTTGTTTAGCTCAGTGGAACTAAACTCAGGAAGCAGCAATTGCCCTGTGCACCTGCCTTTCAAAGACTTCAAATTGAGCTGCATTGGAAAGTCTGTGATTGGAAGTCTGGGCGGGGTTAGAAGGGGTTTGCAATTGCAAGCTGTTTTTAGATATGCTTTTTTCCCAATTGGGTATAAGATGCTTGCATGTTATTGTGGTATATCCACTAAACAGTTTTTTGGGGGGCAGTGGAGTGTACATTTTAATAAAGGGTGTATAAGGAATAACAGCTGCAAGAAAATAAGTTAAATTTACTCAAATTTGCACAAAGCGGCCAAAAACCCCCCCAAAGCTTACCTTTCATTTGGGTGCAGAAATGGCATCTACAGCTAATTAAGAGCTGGTTCTTAATATTCAGTTTTGTTTGTCCATTGAAATGACTTGCCATGTAAGTGTAAACAAAACAAAAAGCTTAAACCATTGGATGAGGTTGACAATTTGTAAGCCACTTAAGTTGTTTAGCTGACTCATTTTATCAGATGTATGTTAGCTCCCACCAGCCTCGGTATAAAATATAAAAACTAAAGTGATTTAACTTCTAAATGGCAGAATTGAGCAGCGATACTGCAGGGGCAGTCTCTACACATTAAAAACTACCTTATTAAAAGGGATATGCATCGCTTTGAGACAACTGTCTCATTCAAAAGCTTTAGCTTTGTATGAGACAGTAACCTCACTTTGCAGGCTGAAAAGTAGAGAAACTTTTTGTTTTCCCAGGTTTTATCTGCTTCTTCTTTCCATACTCACTTCAGCGGGGACAGTGATCTGACTAATCCGTGTCCTATCCCTAGGAATGCTGGAAAATGCCAGACAGATTTACACAAAGACGAAACGCGTTGGATATTCATACATATATTTTTTTTTATTGTTTTTTTTTATGTGTTTTTAGTACATTTTTGCTATATATATCTATATATCTCTCTCTCTCTATATATATCTATATCTCTATCCATCTCTATCTCTATCCATCTCTATCTCTATCCATCTCTATCTCTATCCATCTCTATCTCTATCCATCTCTATCTCTATCCATCTCTATCTCTATCCATCTCTATCTCTATCCATCTCTATCTCTATCCATCTCTATCTCTATCCATCTCTATCTCTATCCATCTCTATCTCTATCCATCTCTATCTCTATCCATCTATATCTCTATCCATCTATATCTCTATATCTCTATCCCTCTATATCTCTATATCTCTATCCCTCTATATCTCTATATCTCTATCCATCTATATCTCTATATCTCTATCCATCTATATCTCTATATCTCTATCCATCTATATCTCTATATCTCTATCCATCTATATCTCTATATCTCTATCCATCTATATCTCTATATCTCTATCCATCTATATCTCTATATCTCTATCCATCTATCCATCTATCTATATCCATCTATCCATCTATCTATATCCATCTATATCCATCTATCTATCCATCTATATATCTATATCCATCTATATCCATCTATCCATCTATATCCATCTATATCCATCTATATCCATCTATATCCATCTATATCCATCTATATCCATCTATATCCATCTATATCCATCTATATCCATCTATATCCATCTATATCCATCTATATCCATCTATATCCATCTATATCCAGAGGGGGTTGGCTGCACTCACCTTAACATGCATAAATGGGGGTGCTGCTGGGGGCCAAATAATACAATACACAAGATCCAGCGCACTCACCTATCCACTAAACAGCAACTTCAATGTTGAAAGATTTAATTTGTTTTTTTTTTAAACCCCTAATCTAGGCAAAAATAATGGGGGTTTAGTTACATTATATGATCATACATTGCAGGCTTATGCAATGTATGATCATATAATGTAACTAAACCCCCATTATTTTTGCCTAGATTAGGGGTTTTAAAAAAACCAAATTAAATCTTTCAACATTGAAGTTGCTGTTTAGTGGCTAGGTGAGTGCGCTGGATCTTGTGTGTGTGTGTGTATATATATATATATATATATATATATATAATATGTGATTTTTTTACACTACCATAGAGGGACTCCTTCTCCTGGGTACCACTTGCTAGTGGTGATATGCTGCCATAATCTTCACTTGATGTAAGTGCAATTTGTATCAATAAATCCATTTTGGTTTACAATACTGCTCTATATATCTCTCTTCCTTTTGAGGATTGAGTGTCCTGCATTTACGCCTTTGGTCTACATATACAATTATGTGATTTTTCTTATATTCTAGATCCTTTGAAGGACTGTTTTGTATTATTCACAGGTTGTATGCTTCATGTTTTTTGTGCTACCCCTTTAATCTATACTAGTATTTTCTACAGTATAGATTTACTCTTTTGTCCCTACTATATCGGTGTATGTGAGGTACACTTTTGGGTGTTTGGCACGTTTTCTCTTGTCTTTGTTTGGGATATTATATAGTACTTCCCTTCTTTTTTATATGTGCAGTTGGAAGATCTCTTCACCTTGCAACATCCCGACAGGGGGAAAAAAGTGGTCTGATCAGTGTGATTTATGCAGAGCAGGCTCCGCAGTTGGGGTTCTCTCTACTGCTGCACCATGATGCACATTTGTTTTCTACTTTCTAAAGAAAAATTTATTTTTCCAAACTCTAAAATCCGAAAATAGACCATCTTAAATCTTCTACATAATGTAACCTCAAACTTTTTTTCCCCCACTGTATACATAAAGATGATAAATACATAATATAGCAATCCTTGCCTTCTATGCCAGGTGAATATTAGTTGGTTAATACTAACCTATTAATCACCTAGAACCGAGGCTCAATCACATATTTGTCAGCAGATTGGAGCCTTTAAAGGGACACTACAGGCACCCAGACACCTTCGGTTCATTGAAGTGGTCTGGGTACGGTGTTCCTACTGCACTTAGTGCTGCAATGTCAACTTTGCAGTTTCTCTGGAACTGCAGTGTTTTACATTGCAATAAGTGCCTCCAGTGGCTGTCTACCAGAGAGGCACTGGAGGAGCTTCCTAGATCCTAACCGACTTTTGATATGGTAAATAACGCTATATGTCATAACGCTCTGTATAAGGACATCTAGCGTCTATTTCACCATAGGAAAGCATTGATTCAGTGATTTCCTAATGGGGAGGTGATTTCCTAACTCTCCATGCATGTGCTTTAGTGCCTGCTGAGAGAACAGCGATCCAGATTTGTATTCCTGGCACTATAGTAAACTTTTGAGTTTCCATGTCACTAGGGTATCAATAAGGGGTATATGGAGGCACTCACTATGCGTGATTAAACTGCCAGCATATTTATTCAGTTGTGTGGTTTTTCTCTGACTGAAAACAGTTTGTTTTCCTGATGAACTGTAAGGGCAAATTAACATCACAGCTGTCCCAACTATATCCCATCTCCGTTATTAAAGGATCATTCTAAGTATCGCAACATCACAGCTGTCCCAACTATATCCCATCTCAGTTATTAAAAGGATCATTCTAAGTATCGCAACAGTACAGCTCATTGTAGTGGTTATGTAAGCCTGTTGGTGCCATCACATGTTTTTATTTTTATTTTTCAACCATTTTGGAACTAACTGGAGTTCTCTCTTCTAACCCATCTCCACCTCTTCTACAGCTTCATGGTTAAAGCAAAAACTATATTACTGCATTATCTAACCAACCTGAATGATAAGCGTAGAACACTAAAAGCAAGTTAAACAGATGAGCTGTAGTGGTTATAGTGACCATTTAAATACATTGTTAAAGTAATATTTATCCCCAAGTCAAACTGTAAAATATATGCCAAAACTAGTGAAATAATTATTTATTGGCAAATTTAAATATCTTTACATCTACACATATATTTACATCATAATGTACATTCTTTTAACAAGAAATGTGAAAACATCCCTGAGCAAATCACATTATACAAATTCAATTTTAGTAGGCCTATCAGATTAAAAAAAAACTATTCCTGAGAATTAGGCATACTAATTACTTCCATGTATTGCTACTCAATAATAATGTGCTGGTTCTGTGATAAACTAGCTTTGTTTACTTTAGTTTTCGTTGTCTTCAGACTCCAAGTAACATAAACACAAGTTTTCCTTACTCATTAGAAGCAAAGTATCTTCTCCCATTGGGTGCCAAGACATTGAGAGGACATTAAACATGCCTAGAGGAAAAAGACAAAAAAACTAAATTAAAACTCCATAATTTACCATAACTGTCAATATGTTTGGGAAAAAAAAATATATATATATATACACATACATACATACATACATACATACATACATATACACACACACACACACACACACACACAAATACAAAACCCCGCATACTGGTTTAAAATTTAGGATAGTTGTATGGGAGTTCTTAAGATCAGGTCCACTGATGCTTCACTGCCAACAGTATGTCGTGCATTGAGGCTGCAGATTGACACCATCGCTCTAGGATTTAAGCGGTCTACATTTACATGAGGTTTGTGAGATTATCACCAAGACTGCAGCACTGTTTATAGCTTATGATTAGCAAATTATCCTTTTGTTCATATAAATAGAATGAATGTTATACATTTAATGATGATCTGTGTGCTCTTCCAGTTAGGAAGTTTTATATAAAGTCAATACATGTTCTTAAAAAAAATAAATAAAGAGAGATGCACATTTTATCTTTTACTCTAGACTGTAAAATAAACTGTGGAGTTGTGCATTAACAATTTTAAAAGGGTAAATAAGGGTTTGTTTTTTTAAATCATTATTATTTGTATTTATAAAGAGCCAACATATTCTGCAATGCTGCACAATCAGCATTAATAGACATTACAGTATAGACAAGCCAATACAAAAGATATAGCAAACCATGAGCTGCTATCTAGTATTATACAAAGGACTTAGCTAGATGGCTACAGAGTCCAAATGATATAATCAAGACTGAGGCAGATGGGAGAAAATTCAAAGATCACATACAGGGAGCATTTAACTGACTGCTAAGAAGTGATGTGATTGAGGCGATGCCAACCAAACACAAGGAGGTGCCTAGTGAAAACTTAGATTAGCTTGAAGTGCACTTGATGTATGTGAGGCCTCTAGATTGGATAGAATGAGAATACATACAGAATGAGAAACAAGCGTATTATTTTAAAATGGAAAAGTTTGCCCTTTATATTCTATGTCCTCAAAAACTATAATCATGTACAGTAAGAATGGAAGAAATCAAGAAAAAAAAATGTGCCACAGAGGGAGCAAACAATATAATATATCAATATGATATATATAATTTACTGGTCTCACTTGTCCTCATACGTCGTGTAGCAGATTTGTTTCCACACTAGCCGAAGTGAAGGAGCTTCAGTTCCGTCATAAAACGTTATTGCATTTCTTCTAAAGTATTAGATAAAATGCATCTAAGAAATCACATGGCGTGATGTGATTGATACACTCAGTATGGATATTACTATTACAGTTTGTTTTTACTTTAGTGATGGCGCGTTCTTTTACTTTTCTTATAGCCTTTGCCAAGGGGGCTTTATATAAATTTGGGATTACATATCAGTGCATAATTAGACTAGCGGATTTTCTAAACGTGCGGGAAGAGGCAACGTGTACATTGTAAATTTTCCCCAAATTTTCAAAATTTACACATGAAAGAAAACCGCTTTTTAAACAATGCAGCTCAGTTTAGGAGACACACAATGGGATTAAAATACTATGCCAGTATACGGCTGACCTTTCACACTTCAGTTATATATTTCCAATGATGCTCTGCCAGGAAAAGTGTTGGCAGAACTTCCTGGCAAACCCCGTTTACAGCAGCTGGAGTGCCAAAGGTTAGTATTCAAAGCAGCCTCATAGACGGATTTATTTACATCTAAAGCACAAAAGCTGTACTACATGTACACAAGCCCTACCTGGAGAATAACACATTAGGAACATTAAGAGAATATTCAGTACTATGCTTCTATCACATCACCACACCACTACCAAGAGTGTTCTATGATAAATGCAACCAGACAGGCCAGGTACTTTCATATACTTGTATTTCACCAAAATAAATATACTGAATATAAAAAAATATATTTATTTTTTTACAGCAAGTGGAAACCAACTGTCACAGCTAGTCTTTTAATTTCCTATTTAAAACACTATCAGGGTTTTATTAAAGTAAGAATGGTCAGGAATTCCAAGTAAATTTCAAATTTACAACAAAAATAGCCAAACTGGAAATATCCTCCAATTCAGTTCCAGTTTGGTTATTTTGGATGTAAATTTGAAATCCAATTTGAATTCCAGACAATTCTAAGTTTAGTAAATAGCCCTGTATATATTCTTTATTTTATTCCACGTTCAAAGTCATGAATTTATCTAAAATTTATTTGAACTCTTCCACGTCCCTAATCTCCACTACCTATGCGAGAAGGAAGGTATTTCCCCGCAATGCCCGTTGATGTCATCTTGTTTTAGCAGCTTTTCTTTTCTGTAGAACATATCACACTTATCATACTTTGTTTAATTCCTTGAGATGCTTATATGTTACTAATACATTACCTTCCACTGGCACTTGCACAGAAACACTACCGGTTGGAGACCACAAATATACTCTGGTATTTCCAGTGCAGATGGCAAGTCTAGGATGAATTGGATGCCAGACAAAAGATTTGACAGCCGAACTATGTTCCACAACGGAAAACAATCTCATTTTCTGGATGTTCCATATCCAAACAGAATATGGCATGTTATCTGCAAGAAAAGACAAGAATACAATTGTGAACAATATTATGGATACCACTACAACGCTTTAATATAAGAGCAGGTCCATGCTCTAGTCCATTTACTGATAAAGTCCACCATCACTACAGCTGAAATATATCCAGTGACGGGGACTGTACCGTCTACGCTTAACACAGCAGAGCTTTTTGTAAGCTCTGTAAATTGTGAGTGAGCTTTCGTTATATCACTCCATTTTACTTTATTAATGATATACCGCACTATTATTGTCTCTCTTTTTTCCCACTTTCTTTGAGCTATCATACACTGCAACAGACAAAGACCCCATAGACATAAAAAAGTACTTGTATATGATTTATATGTGACTTCACTCATGGGTTTTATTATGTTTTCGGCGCGGTAATCTATTTTTTGTATCTGTCTCTTAACAATATTAACTGGGTGAGGATGTTGGGGAAGTTTAAAAATATATTTGTGCTCCCGGAATTTAATACGTAATGGATAGTGTCTGAGATGAAAGTTTTTTGTGGTGTGTCGAAAACCAACGTAAGAGTGGGCCTGTAAATAAAAGAGGGCCCACCAAGGAGAGTTGTAATACTATAAGGGTGAAGGTGGGTGGGGACAATCAACTTGACCGGCAGAGGTGAGTAGGGGCTGGGAGTTTAAGTAGGGGACTTACTCCTTCCACAAATTCAGGCCTAATGGCCTTTCTACTTGTGCTCGGAATTTAATACGTAATGGATAGTGGCTGAGATGAAAGTTGGTTGTGGTGTGCCGAAAAACAACGTACGAGTGGGCCTGTAAATAAAAGAGGGCAAAGAAGTTCAAGGAAAAACACACTTTATTGCACATTTAGTACATAACCAATTTTTTTTTATATATATATATATATATATATATATATATATATATATATATATATATATATATATATATATATATATATATATATATATATATATAAATAAATAAACACATTTAATTATTTTTTTATTCCATCTTATGCTATTGACTAATATCGTGAGACGCAGAGGTCACACTTGTGCAGTTGATTCCATTGCTTACCATTTTTAGATGCCATATAACGATTATCGTGACTAAACGCCAATATTCCAATTCCAAGTTCAGGATTCGCCCGATCGGAGTCAGGTTTAACACCTCTTAAAGTTACTGGTACATTCACAATCTCATCTAGAACAAAACCGAGTTTAAGCTTTAGTAAGATCAACACATTCAAATTTGCAACAGATTGTATTAGCAGCTAAAGTTCCTGCCTTTACTGCTACTTTCTGTGAAATTAACTACATACAATACCAGCAATGGTATGAAATGTGAATATATGTAATTCACGCAGCATTTTACCCTGCAAAACCATAAATCCTAGTTTGATCTCCTTGAAGAATTTAAGTTCTTTTGATCCAAGATTTAAATTATTTGTCAAGGGTTCCTAGCTCCTCCTTCTGAAGTATACGACTTCCAAATAGCAATACATTACTTAGCATTACTGTTTCAATGAGAAAATGATTGATTAACAACAATGGACATCTTTGCGGCCCGCGGAGCTGCAGGTTTGAGACGTGCTCCGTGTTAAAGCAAAATAGGCACCTGCTTTCTCCACATTGCAGGTGCCTACTTTGCTAAAATTTACCCGGCCGGGAGGAGCTCAGTCTTCCTTCTGCTCACTGCTCCCTCGCGCCCGCTGTCTGTAGTGATGCCGGAATTTGACGTCATATTCCGACACCCGGCATCACTAAACTGCACGAGTGTTTGCTGTAATATACTATAGAGTTTATACCCGGCTTCAGAATGAGAAACCACACACCTATCCACCCAGAGAAATAGAAGGATGCAGAACTAAAATATAAGACTGGCTGATTTCTTACATTTACTGCGGATACTAAACAGGCTGTTAGGTTTTCCTTTTGGTAAAGGAAAAGTAAGTTCATCAGTTGCAATCCCTGGGCATCTCTCCACTTCCTTATACACAACCTGTGAAGGAAAAACAAGATTTGCTGGAACAATGGAAGACATTGATGAAGACATTTATGGCAACAGTTTTGAGGAAATTAAAAAATGGACAGCAACCTGCCATGATCCTCAACATACTGTTGGAAAATACATCCTTTCCAATATGGATTAATTAATGGAAAACAGACATAATGCAATTTTGCAACGTTCCAAAGGAATTGGTACTTACAGCTTTTGCGTCTGTGATTGTGGCTGAATGTACTAGTTCATGGATTGGCTTCCATGTAACATGATTGAGAATTCTCACCTTGGAGAAAGACAGACAAGGATAGAGAGATCATGATTACAGAGATTTCCATGTCATTGTAATTGAAAAACACTAGGCATGCCTTTCTACCTTTTCATCAAAACTTCCAATTGCAAGGAACTGGCTGCTCGGACTCCACGTGACCGATTTAATCCCCAGCGACCACTCATAAGCACAGTAGGTGGAAAGCAATCGGCCATCCAAAGAGTAAAGCAACATCTTGTACTGAAATATACAGAACGATTCATTGTTTTAATTCGAAAGACAATTCATACATTACATATACAAAGTCACACATTATGAGGACTGAACTGTATGCTCACTAAAAGGGCAGCATAGGCAACAGGAACATCTCATGTGACAAATGATATGGTAGTCCATTAAAGGCTACAGTGTAGCAGCTCCAAAAGGAAAAATACCATATGGTGTTTATTGCAGAAATGCCACATGGACACTCAAAATTATACGCATAAAATCTGGTAAGCTTAAGATGTTCTGTAGGATACCTCCAGGCAAGACTCCCACACTGCCAGGACACAGCCATTGGGAGCCCAGGCAATCCCATCAAGGTCCTGAGTGTCCGTCTCAAAGTGCTGAAAAATGAGAACAGAAGAAGCAGTCAAATACTTCATCAACATGCACTACATATAGTAGAGTAGTAATAAGTTACTGAGTATTGACATGCACTGAACAATCTCGATGTCTATTTATGATTATTTAAATGTTTAAAATGTCTTTCAATGCTTACAGTGAATCTAATACTTTACAGAGCATCACTGCTACACAGATTGTGACATAACTTCTATTTAAAAAAAAACAAAAAACGGTGAAAGGAAAACTAACTGAAGAATGCTATAAAAATCAAACCTAATTTAGCTTAATTAAGCATGTTTGTATATAGTTCATGTCTCGACACACCACCTGCTCAGTTCTCTGCTATTTTGGGTGTTAAATCACTTTATTTCTGCACTTCTAGTCACACCTCCCCTGCTTGTGATCTATAGAGTCTCCCTAAACATTTCCTGTAAAGAGAAATCTAATATTTCAACTTCCTTTATAGCACACTAATTTAGAATTCCTCTTCTACTCGGCCTACAGAAGTACCCTGTGTGTAATTAAAGTTCAGTTAGCAAAGCAACATCTGATTGAAAATGAAAGTTTTTTTCATGACCGATGTGAGCGTTACAGCCAGGTGGTGTGTGGCTAGGGCTGCATAAACAGAAACAAAAAGTGATTTAACTCCTAAATAGGCAGATAATTGAGCAGTGAGTCTGCATGGGCATGATCTATACACCAAAACGGCTTCATTAAGATAAAGTTGTTCTGGTGTTTAGAATATCTCTCGAATTCAAGATGCCAGGAATTTGTGGCAGACCTAACTTTTTACAAAGTTAAAAAACAAATAAAATAATAAACAACTCCCAACACAAGAATAGAAAACAAACAGAAGCACTGTATGACTGTATAGTGACATACAGATAATTGGATGCTGAATATTAGTCTCTAGCAATATTAAAGAGGCAGTAAGCTCATTAAAATAGGAACATCATCACGTGTTTGCTTAACTAATTTCTGTCAATTTTACTAGAATGCATTGTTTAGCTGTAATAAACCATTGCAGAATAAGAAACACATAGAAACATACCTCCCAATTACTAATAGTATCAATTTTCTATCACTATGAAAATAGTTGCAAAACTTATGCGTGGTAATTGCAGCACTATCTGGATAAAAGAACATTTTTACAATAACATCTTGTTACAGCAAACATTTCCATCCTAATTAATGTACTCAGCTTTTGTACATCATGTCTTTGTCCAAAGAATATGTGTGTCAAAATGAAGATCATAGAGCTAAGTTTAGAGCCCCTTGTTTAATGCCAAGAACTAATCCAGGAAAGTCCCCTGGATGTAGTGTAGTAAATTCTACAAACTAAGTACTAAGAAATCTAGGTATTAAATGGACAGACACATAGCAAGTGTACCAAAGTATTTCTCACCCTTAGGAGGCGCCAGTCATTACACACAAATATGCTAATGTAATCTTTGCAATCACGTCTCTCAGCCAAAGCCATGTGCCGACCATCATTCGTAAAAGTGATTCCTGTAGGTCAAAGGTAAACAAGTCAGACAAGCAGATAATCCAGTCATCTCTGATGTTTTGTTCTTAATTATAGTGGATAAAGTTTTTGAATAATAATACAAAAAAAAAAAATCAAACACGTTTTATAAGTAGTTTAAGGGTATGATTGACTTTTGTTGACACATACAGAAACCTGTACAGACAGAGCTACAAAAATATTTCTAATTATTTTTTTAGAAGGCATGTAAAACTTATTTATACTTCTATCAACTTTGTCCATGCTTAAAGGATCACCATAGGGTCAGGAACACAAACATGTATTCCTGACCCTTTAGTGTTAAAACCATATAGCCCCCCTGGGCCCCTCATGCCTCCATAAATATAGCAAAATCTTACTGTATTCAAGCCAGAAGCTGTAACTCTGCATGTGGTTTGCCTCAAAAAAAAAAAAAAAGCAGTCTGCTGACATCATCAGAAGTGGTAGCCTGATCCAATCACAGTGCTTCCCCATAGGATTGGCTGAGACTGACAAAGGGGCAGAGCCAGCATGATTCAAACACAGCCCTGGTCAATCAGCATCTCTTCATAGAGATAATTTGAATCAATGAATCTATGAGGAAAGTTCAGTGTCTGCATGCAGAGGGAGGAGATACTGAATGAATGGATGCATTTTAGGCAGCCATGACCCAGGAAGGATCTCTAACAGCCATCTAAGGAGTGGCTGGTGAAGTTATCACTAGGCTGTAATGTAAACACTGCATTTTCTCTGTAAATACAGTGTTTACAGCAAAAAGCCTGAAGGTAATGATTCTACTCACCATAACAAATTCAATAAACTGTAGTTGTTCTGGTGACTGTAGTGTCCCTTTAATTTAAGCTTAGTTATGTTCTTCAGAAAGAGACAAAATAGCTTTGACCTGGGCATTAAAAAACTGCAGCTCTACCAAGAGGCTAACATAGCCTGGTTAAAGGTTTTCTCCAACCACCATGACCCCTCCTGCATTTATAAGTGGTCATGGTGGTAGGATTCTGTACCCACAGGATTTCTGCTTGAAATGCTGCACATCCATAAATATTTGCACTTTTGCACTGGGAGCTTGTTACACCCTTGACACACGTGACTTGTGCAGCTCAGAATTCTGTTACAATGTGAATTTTGTGCATAAAATACACATAAAATATCAGCCTGAAAGAGGAAACCATGATCCGCCATCCCTCCATGTACTTTATTTCCAGTCTCCCTACATTGCCACTTTTTTTTTATTCCCTTCCTCCCTCTGTCCACCTCCCACTCCCCACCATCCTAGCTCAGAGCGTGCACATTCGCTCTGAACACGATAAACATTCCAATGAAATGCTTCTCAGTGAGGGCAGCGTTGACATCAGATTGGGCATGGAAAGCAGTGTAGGTAGCTGTACCCACCACTGGAATCCTGGTAAGTAGGGGGAATCTAAGCATTAGATCTACACTTTACGCTCATCCTAACTGATGAGTGGAACTGTTCTTTGAGGATAACTAATTGTCTCAGATCCTTGCTGACTGGCATTTAGGGGATTAGATCCCACAGACCATAAGATGTCGCTGATTGGAGGTATCATCTTAGTGTGAAATAGTGATTCAGTCAGGGACTTTTAGGTACAGTATCTTTACTTTTTTTTGCATGTATATAATGCATATATAGGTCAACTTTACCCCATAGTTTCCCTTTAAGGATGGCAGGGTATCAAAAGAACAAACAAAATGTAGCTCACAATGTTAAACCTAACTAGTTCAGTATCTGAATGCCAAATTCTGTGCAAAAAAGTATATTCTGAAACCTATATTTAAGGCTATTTAATATGTAATAATCTCATTGCTACCAAGACATCAAGCATTACAAAGCATCTGACCACCAACCTTTTTTTATAATCTGACTTTACAATTTAAATCAAAATGTTTCTAAAATTATATTAATGGATATTTTATATAAAGCATTTAATTATTAATTTTAGGTAACAAAAAAAGAACACTAATAAGATAACAAAATACATTAAGGACAAGACCTTACCTTGTTGGCATGATTTTGGATATTTTATGTAAGAGACTGATTTTGCACTAAGTGACCACAAAGTAATCCGCAGCTGTGGAGGGAAAAAACGTTTAAGTAGGGTTTCATTGCACCTAAATGGATCTTATTTGCATAGATAGATTCAAACTGCAAAGCTTATAAATGAAGACATATCCCATTATTTTAAAAATGGGGTTGATTGTTTGTATCACTAAATTTAATATATGAAACATCTATGCTGCAGTGAACAGTGGTGAGTTGTCAAATGTTTAGCAAAGTTTAGGTCAAAATGGCAGTTTCCTTAGTGTATACTTTGAAATTTAGTATCAGCTCACCACAATTCGATGCTCAGTCAACACACCTTTAATAAATCTATAAAACTTCTGAGATGGAACTAACATTTTCCAAGTTATTTGGCCTATTATTATTATTGCCATTTATATAGCGCCAACAGATTCCATAGCGCTTTATTATGTAACACTTTAGCATCCTCTATGCCCCTCACTTTTCCAAATTATTATTATTATACATTACTATAGATCTATATAAAAGCATAAAACAATATTAGGTCAGTTTTTGAATAGACAATCCATTTAAACAAACCACAATCTACATAGACAAAGCTTAGATGCAGATATTAGAAAGTTAAGATCAAAATTGATTATAAATATAAAATACAAAAAGGGTCAGCAGAGATCAACTAAAAATCAGCATGCAAAGATTTGTGAAAGGAACTTGACGCAATTAAAATATAGTGAGAACATTTGCGAACATATAAAGGTAGTATCGTATTTGAAGCATTTTTTAAAAGTTGCTAAAGTTGCTGGAATAGCAGTGGACAATTTTTTGCTTTCCTTCTGCTATGTAGCAAGTTTTAACCCCTTAAGGACACAACTTCCGGAATAAAAGGGAATCATGATGGAATTTCCCCGTCATGTGTCCTTAAGGGGTTAAATATCAGCAACCAAGCATATGCTTTACCTACGCACTTGTTACAAAGTTAAACGATATCTAAATGTAGATTTTATATTGTGTTGAGTAATCTGGCCAAAGTGGAATTAGATCTGGAAGGTAGGCAATTCCTAAAATTGTTCTCTGAAGCCAGTGAGCGATTTAAACAAGATTCCACCATTACGTAAACCGTACACATAATATATAGATGATACACGTTACTATTGTATTCATCTTCTTTTGAGAAGAAGGCAGATGACTATGTAATGTATAGGGTGAGGTATGTCAGACTGCCTCCTCAAGGTTAGTGTGGATCTGCAGCCTACACACGCATACTCTGCACCCACTCAGTGCAGACTCAACAGCTGCAGAACTCAAATACAATCATTTAAACCACATATTTCAACCAACGCTTTCTGGATTAAGTGCTGCATAGGACCCCAGTTCTATTAAAGGGGGAATTTAGAAAATGCTGCAAAAGGTAATGTGGAATTTGTATGGTATCCTTTCACTTGGCTCCTTGTTTTATCTTGAGGAAGCAAACTAAAAAATATTCTAGAATTTTAGAAAATCTAGAAACTATGATGTGAAAACTCAACAGCTGATTTAATGTAATGTATTGCAATAGCATTTAAAAGGGATAAAAATGATATATAAAAACTAGTATTTATATTGCGTCCTTCTCCCATAATATAAATAGATATATATTTTTTATTTAAAAACACACACAATTCAGTAGATATATACCAAATGATAACATGAACGCGTTTAATTATGCATTTTTTGATTGGGGATATATCTAAAATAGCTTACAAAAGCTGCAGTTCTATTCTCTGCATCCTTTGCAAGCCCTCTGCTTCTAACGCCACCCAGACTTTCTGTGGTTGTCCAATCACAGGCTTCCAAATGCAGCTCAATGAGAAGTCTTTGCAAGGCAGATGCTCTTGGCAGTTGCTGCTTCTTAAGTTTAGCTTCACTGAGCTAAACAAACCAGGAAGTAACAGATATGAGAAGAATTTGATTGGCCGGAGCCTCCAGGATGACATCACTGAAGAAGGCGGCCACGGCAGCACCAAAGGAGACTTGGACCTGGGGGAGTAATTCGTTTTAATTTATTTCGATTTTATTTTGTTTTCTTTTTGCCGGGGGGCTGAGACAATTTATTAAGGGGTATCAGGACTGTAGCATTAGGAATACAGATTATTACTACAGTGTTCTTTTCATCTGCCTATTCAGGAGTAAGAGCTCAATGACTCCCAGATAAGAAAAGCCATTTCATATATTGCACATAAAATAAAGTTGGATTTATTCAGTGCTTAAAAAAAAAAATGAAAAAAATATATAGTGCCCAAATTAAACTTTATTGCATGCTGAATCATCATTAAGAAAACTAGATTCCAGACATGAGGGATTTCATTTTGTGATCTGTGTTCCCACAAAGATTTTATTCAAGTATTCCCTCATTCTGTTCATTTTTTTTTTTTTTTTTAGCAAAAACCACAAAACGGAAAAATAAATATTGGGTTTTCTAAAATAGCTTTTTACAAACAGCTGAGAAATAAAAAGCGTTGAGACAGTAATGTGATAAACAAGTCTCTGACATCGGTATAAAGAAGGCCAAGTCTCAAAGGCCCTGACAGTTCGTGGCAGGTGTAATGAACTGGTGATTTTCACCATACAAGAATCACTTCTACAAAACCTAGCGTCTCAAGTGACTGTCAAACAGCGTCCCAGACTTGACTGGGTCACCAGGCCCCTTTACATAGCTGCGTCTGTCAACACAGGATTTCAGAGGATTATTCTGTGCACATTCTTCGACACAAAGCATTTCAGTCAGTCCAGGCCATTTGCAATTACAATGGATTATTTCAGCCTGGTGCTCAGGGGGTACAAGTGATGGTTTGCACAGCAGGTTAATTACTAACTTGTCGATTTGGAAAACCTCCAAGTTAATTTCATGCTAAATCAGTGGCTGTCATTAATACATTAACAGTAATCAAGGCTTGCAGCAGGCGTCATAATTTAACATCTGCCTTGAAATCCAGGCCTGTTTAACATTTCATATTAATACTTGCATCTCAACCTATGCCTGGGACTTTGGTCCAACTACTGAAGAGTTGTACATTACATCATACAGAAAATCTGGCCACAGTGATTAAACTAAATGGATTTATCATTTGTCTTAAGTCGCTTTACCCATTTGTTTATTAAGAGATAGAATATAAAGCAAACACTACAGTATTAAGTGGGTCCATCACCCAGAAATATGTTCAAGTTGATTTCTGTTTCAGGTAAATAAAACATAAAAAATAAAATAAAATAAAAAGTTATACATGAATGCAAATATACAGATTAAAACTTAAATTCATTCAAAATCCTAACCAAACGCTCACCTCTTCCCCAGTTATTACACCACTTATAAAATAAAATTTACAATTCTACAAAATCAATGATGGAGTGGAGCTAGCACACAAACTGTGTAGACTAGATGCTGCCCTTGTATTCATGGGGATTTTTTCCATCCGAAGCCCCATTGGACCAGAACAAACCACACCATTAATCTTTACAAGTTGTAACTGATCCACTAATTACATGCTGCATGAAAGAAGCGAGAAGGCAAGCCTACTTTATTTAGATTGGAATTGTCCATATTGAGGTTCCTATTTGATCATGTTCCTTATTTGGGCTTTTAAGACAGTTCACTTTCTGTTGAGATTGTGGAAGTAGCAATCCTTTACGAGGTCAGAGGGAAGGAGTCACCATTGCCGAGATTGTCAATGACATGGATTTTGGGCCTTTTAGGAGTTTTGTTCTGTTTAGTTTCTGTGTGTATTAAATTTGACAAGTGTGTACATACACTGATCAGCCAAAAAATTAAAACTACTGACAGGTGAAGTAAATAACAGGGATTATATCGTTACAATAGCACCTGTTAATGGGTGGGATATATTAGGCTGCAAGTGAACAGTCCTGAATTTCAGGTTTTGGAAGCAGTAAAAATGGGCAAGCGTAAATATCGGAGTGATTTTCAAATAGGCCAAATAGTGATGGCCAGACAACTGGGTCAGAGCATCTCTAAAAACAGCAAGACTTGTGTTGTGTTCCCAGTATGAAATGTTTAGTACCTACCAAAAGTGTTGCAAGTAAGGACAACAGGTGAACCAGTGTTCTGAACATGGGTGCTCAAGGCTCCTTTATGCACGTGAGGAGTGAAGGCTAGCCGTCTTGACCGATCACGCAGGAGAGCCACTGTATCTCAAATTGCTGAAATACTTAATGCTGGCTATAAAAGAAAGGTGTCAGAACACACAGTGCACTGCAGTTTGCTACATATGGGGCTGCGTAGCTGCAGACCGGTCATAATGGCCATGATGACACTTGTCCACCGCTGAAAGCACCTTCAATGGGGATGCGCCCTCAATGGCCACAAGATATATTGTCACTGGGAATTCCCTTTTAATTTCTAATAATCTTACTGCATTGTTCCAAGCAGCACATATTCCTTAGACAAGTGTCTGGAACACCTTGGAAAACTTCAGTCGCTGCGTTGAGACTATCCAACAACACTACAGACCACATTGAGTTTGAGGAATTCCCTCTAATCACCTCAGGGCACGCACACGCAATCCTGCTTTCAAGGACAACGAAAGATTGTTGGTCTGGTGCTCATTTAACATTGTGAGACTAGTGCTTCGGGGACTTCTTTGTGGATTTGTGGATAAATGCATTTGAGGAAATTGATGCACTAAACAAAGTTTTTAAAATAAAAGTGGTTCTGCTAGGAATAAGGATTGTAGCAAAACACAGACTTGAAGGAAACCAAAACAAATACATAAAAATGATGGAAGACATTGCTGTGCTTAACTGCTGCCAAAGTCTCTACCATATAAATCAATATGCAAGTAGCTTTACATGCTTATAATTAAGGGTATAAATCTGTCAGATTACAAAAGTGCCCCAGATCGAATGCTGTAGAAAAGGCGTTAGACTGTCTGTGCCAGTATCTTGCAGTAGCAGACAGGTGCACCTTTATGGCTTTGGCAAATTAATGAGACATTGTCATCACCACACAGCTCAAATTTTAAATTGCTGTACCAGGTTATCCGAGGTAATTGGGAAAACACTTTAGTTAATTGAAAAGCTACAAGGATTACTGTACTCCAGCCATTTGAAAATCATACACATTACAGCAAGATTTAATCCCAATAGTTAGCCCATAATCAGGAAATAAAAAAAATAATATATATATATATATATATATATATATATATATATATATATATACATATATATACACACACACACATACATACACAGTGTTACAGAAATGCCTCTGCCACGTCTGGCTAGAGGGGCCTGCTGCCCAAAGACTATGGGCACTGCAAAAATTCTGTTAAAAGACTTTGTTCGTGCCATTTCCCCATGCTGTTCAGGAACCGAACCGGTGCATGAACCAGGGACCACCCGGGAGCTTGTTTAACCCAATTGACACCTCTTAACGATTCTAACTGCAGTGTTCTAATTGTTCGTCTGGGTGGCCGCAATTCGTATGAACGACCACGAGGTGGTGGCTATCTTGTTCGCATGAATGCAGGCAGCGGTGTTTGGTCGTCGAGTTCATGGAGCTCAAATCGGGCACGGAAACGCCCGAATACCGCTGGACTTCCATCATCGCCTGCTTTCAGATTGTACACCACCTAGAAGGGCACTGTTCGGTGGAATCGTTTGTCTGGATGAGGGGAACAAGCTCCATGGTATGACTATTGACTACGTTCGGAAGTTTGTACGTTTTTAAACTACCGAACTTGACCGACCGTTAGAACTGAATTCATGGAACGGTTTTGGGCATAGGAGCATGTGTACGGTCGGTCAAATTAGGACTTCCATAGAAATCCCAAACCCCTGAACTGATCTGGGTGATTTTTGGATATGTTGGTCACCCAGATCGGGGCTATCGGGGGATGTAAGGTTTGTGGGGTTTTCATGTGTTTTGGAGGTACTTTTGAGGTGTCTGAAAAATGTGTGCTTTTCCGTACCTGTTATCTCTGTTGACTCAAATATCTCTCGGGCACAGAGGAGGAGTTTGTAACTTGTATAAATTCTGTGACTGTGCTCCCATTAAAACAGACTACTTCCCAGCATTAAGCCTTGGGGGGGGGGGGTGTGTGTTATACTGAGCTTTGAATTATTATACTTTGTTGGAGGAGAGGTCTTCCCACTGGGAGCTGGATCCAGGTGTTTGGTACAGGGTGGGAAGGGACGGCAAGACGCCAACAAAGCTGAGGCGACTAAGGGGGCTACAGTGGTTAGTGTCTGGTGCGGTGCTTATGGTACTTGGTGAGCACTAGGAAGCGTGATTGGCGGAGGTACCCACTCGGGGTGCGAGGTGGCCACCACATAAAGAAACATTATAGTCAGCAGAACAACTACAGCTTAATATAGTTGTTCTGGTGAGTATAGTCAGTCTCTGCAGACTTTTTGCTATAAACACTGCCTTTCAGAGAATAGGCAGTGTTAACATTGCTCCCTAGTAACAACTTTAGTGGTCACTTTTCAGATGGCCACTGAAGGTGCTTCCTGCATGGAGACGCTGAACTTTCTCCAAAGAGTTGCATTGATTCAATGCATCTCTATGAAGAGATGCTGACTGGCCAATCTGGCCTTTGGCCCGCCCCGCCTTCTTAACGATCTCAGCCAATCCTATGGGAAAGTCTTCGATTGGCTGAGATCATCAATTCTGATGAAGTTTGCCGAGGCGGCGGATCGGAGGCAGGACCAGCGCCAGCACATGAAAATAAAGTAAGTTTTCTCTCCTTTTAAAGGGAGTAGGTGAAGGGTAGGTGGACAAACCACTGAAATGGTTGTTTTAATGCTATATGGTCAGAAATACACATTTGTGTTCCTGACCCTATAGTGTTCCTTTAAAATTAGATACAATATAATTATTTTCCTTCTGCTAACATCTATTCAGTTTATTTTAAGCTTTAAAATGTGTAAGCAAGTGAAAATGTCAGCACATGTATGTGTACAGATTACGTGATATACTTACCTGAACCTGGGCTCCTGCAAAAATTAGCAAAGGATTTCAAGAAAAACAATAAAATTTAACATTTTAGTTACTTCAATTAATACATTAATTGGTCACTGTAGGAACCATTATCTAGGCTTATTGCATAGATTATGGTGCAAAGATGTGTGCTTCCTTGCATACAGTGACATAATTACAGAGGTTGGGTTAACAATCTGATGAATGGGGCTGTGGCTTGGTACTTAGCTAGATATTGCATATACCTGCTGGAGAGTAGTTTAGGGGATATGGATTAATAAAACAAAGGAAAAAAAAATCTTAGCAGCAGGCAGACCCCTTCCAAAGACTTTTACTTTCACTGGTAGATGGCAGAGTTTAGACCAACAACTTTAGGGACTTTAAAGTAATTTTGTATTGTTTTTGTGAAGTGAATCATACAAATTAAATTTCTACAGAACTGCACAAGCAGTGCTTCATGTACACAATAAGGGTTTCTACAGTTGTCCGCTTTCTGCTGTAGAATGCCAACAGAAGCCAGAAGCCTAAGACATCATGCACAATAATATTTTTAGCGCAAAAAAAAATAAGTTAACACTGAAGTTTGGAGACATTTACTAACAGGGTGAGTTTGTGGTGCAAAAACAAACAAAAAAAATAAATCAATTTAAAAAAAAAAAAAAAAATAGATTACTGTAATCTGACCTACATATTGCACCTAGCATGTGGGGGTACCTTTAGTCATCTTGTAACTCTATATTGTACCACAAATTAATTAGAGCATTTTAAAGAGACACTCCGGTCTGGAGTTGACTCCCAGTTTATTAATGCATTATATAGTTACGCAAACACAATCTGGAATACAAACATTTGTTTCTAATGTTAGAGTTCTGCTGGAAATCTAAAAGCACAATTGGCTTCTGCGTAAGCCCCATATTGCAATACAATCTACAATGGAAAATGTGGCTTCTGCGTAAGCCTATAATGAAATGTACTGTACAATGGAATGTGCGGCTTCTGCGTAAGCCATCTGCTGAAATGCAACATAACGATACAAGGACCTATCAGAGACAAAATAAAGAATTTTAAAAAAAATAAAGAATGATTTACCTTTTAGCCCTAGCCACAACGGTTGTACCACACCTCCCCTGCCTGAGATCATCAGTGAAGATAAGAGGCAGCGCAACTCTTGGACAAAGGGAAACATTAGAATGCTCCTGCAAATGTGTTGCGTCACTATGGGAAGCATTCAGCGTCATCATGCAAAATATGAAGACGCCGAATGCCAGTCCTCCAAACAGAGCACCATTAAGCTGTAGTTGCTCTAGTGCTTACAGTATCCATTTAATCCATGTATAAAACATTTTTTTTTTTTTTTAATTACAAAAAAGGAAAAATAAGCAATCAAGAAGGGGAAAGCAATTTTTTCCTTGCACCTAGCCCCTGACACACAATTAAAAATAACTCTGAATGTGCAGTGTTTCAAGCCAAAACAGAAATCTAGCACCATGACCACTTCAAATCACTGACGTTGTCATGGTGGTTGAGATAACCCTTTAACGATTAAGGTTTACATATTATGTAGTGACTGCTAAAGTAGCTGGTAGCCACTCTCAGATAGATCATTTTAGTAGGACTGCTGAGCATACCACATCTTTGACACTAGTGAGTGCTTACAGCTGCAGCATTTTGCTTTTCTTATCGCTACAAATATTAACTAGGAAATAGGAAGGCAGGGACAGAGGACCTCTTTGCACTATAATCCATGCAAGCAATGTAAAACTATTAGGTTGCTTGAAGTATCCTTTAATTACTGTTCAACAAAGTACTCAGTGTGGTTTTGTGCTCTGTACAGCATGACGGTCTTTAAAAGAAATGAATAGTGCAGGTCTAGACTGTATATAACTCTATCCTATAATTATAATGTTCACACCCGTGGTCAAAACAATTTGCTTTTTGTGAGTACCATGTTGCTAATGTGAAACTGCTGTCTCTCCGTAATTGCCTCACGTTATGAGACATTGTTCTTAAAACCGTGTAATACAAGAATATTAACTCTTCTGAATGCGACTGGAACACTAATGCGCAGCAATAGCTCCCTGTGGGATATGGATTTACTGTACTTGACAGTAAACACAACTCAGACACTGACATAAGCTAAGCAGCTGTCCGAAACAAGTTCATTTTGCAATCTGTTTACAGCTGGAAAATAAATCTATCTTGACACAGATGCCTTCTTGGCAAAACCTTAATGAAATTGTGTGGGGGTCATGTTGAGTTCTGATGGCTGCTCAGAAATACACACCGCCTACACAAGCACGTGCTGGGAGAAATCTACAGCAGGCAGCCCAGGACAGGTAACTGAGCCTGCAGAGATTTATGGCTGACAGTTGTATTTAACTTGAACAACTGGGAAATTCTTCAACCTGATAATTCTCTGAACATTGCAATAAATATATTGCAAATGGTGAAGGACGACTCACTACTACTGCAATGATGAGCCTAAAGGTGGTTATACAGCAGCTGTATAACTTGCAAATTACTCTATTTTCCCCTCCATCTTACCCATTTTAAATAAACTAGACCATTTGTTTGCCAGATTACTTTAGCTCATATTCTATCAGTACCAGTGGTACGGCAACAGCACTACCTTAAAAGTGTGGTAATACTTTATTGATAAGTACTGCATCTGAGTACACACAAGACACCATCAGTCAGGGTTTATCAATAAAGTATGACTGTTAAAAGTAGTGCCAATGCAGAGTTGCTGAGAAATCGCAGTAATGGTTGGGGCATCAGGAGGAAATTGGGGAGATAGTGAAGGAGTGAGCATGCACAAATATAAAGGATGAGCTATACAGTTACCCTACACATCCTGTAGCATATAGTTCATGGAACGAGAAACAGGCAGGAATTTCCTTAATATTGAAGTCTCCACTAGTAAACATGGTATCAGATCCTGCATACCACAACTGGGGTGAAAAGATGAAAGGAGGTAGTCTAAAAAAAAAAAAAAGTTTTCTATTACTGTAACCCATTTTAATCCACAGGCTTTGGGTAAAAAAATAAAAAAAAATAAAAAGGGGGGCGGGGCAAGCTATTAAAAAGAAAAACTAGCTTTGACAGAAAAATATAAATAGAATATTGGGGGGGGGGGTGGAAGAGGAAGGAAACTATAAAATTATTAAAAAAAAATAAAAAATAAAATAATGTTTTGCAATTTCATGGGTGCCTTCTAGACAACCTTTCTCTGCCTATTTTCTACAGTTAATCTTGCACTGAAACCATTAGTGTTACAATGCTACTGAACACATGGAATGATATTTAAACACTGTACTCTTCATAAACTTTTTGTTTGCAAGCATTTCCAGAGCAAATAAAAGGATATTGTCCTTCACACTTTCTATTAACCCATAGAGGTCCAAATATATGCCCCCTAACTGTTAAAAATGTGTGCAAGTGAAGGGGGTATCTCGAATCTCATGGTAACTAGAGGGCCCAGAAAACCACTTAGTTTTTTGGATTTTTTTGTTTTTGAAAAAACAATTATATACATACACACACACACACACACACACACACACACACATTTCCTCTTTGTGCTGGCCCATCTTTACAAAATTCTAAACTAAATAAGCAGATTTTTCTCTGGACTTTACTTCTGAACAATGTCCAAACTAATCACGCACGTGATATTTTTGGAAAATTTCATGCCATCTTCAAACTCATTCAAATAAGTTCTGAAACAAGTCACACAAACCTCAGGATAGTAAACTTGGGGAATGATATAACCGAAATGTTGCTTTTATTTGAATTGAGTCAGAACTTGGAGCCAAAAAAGGTGAGGGGGTTCATCATCACGGACCATCTTCCTAGTCATACTTGGTGGTTAAAGGAGACTGTTTAACTCACAAGGAAGAAATGCTATTAGTTAGCAACACAATCTTTTCCATGTAAACCCAAGGCCAGGGCTGGCCAAATATTGACAGGAGCTCATACTTCCGTCTGTAAGCATGACTATGAGAGTGTGGATATGATTATATGCATGTATGCCTGTATGTCCATACCCATACCACAACATTGGCTCTGTGAATACATATACTACTTGTGAACAATGTATGTGTGAGAGCATCTGTGTTTGCATCAGGTCTGTGCTTTTTGAGTGTGTCATGTAATTGTGTATATAGAATGCACACTATAACAATCTCAAAAAAATGTAGCTTTATTATGTACAAAAAAGTACCAGAGTGAAAACATATAAGAAAAATAAACAAAGTACCCTTGATAAAGGCAGCCAGTTGGTGCCGAAACGTTGGGGGGTTTGGTGACTCGTGTTTCTGTCTTGAGGCTTGTAAGAATTTTTGTGGTAATTTATTATTATTTTATTGTATTTGCCCTTGCTTCTGTCACTTTGTTTATTTTTCTTATATATGTTTTCACTCAGGTACTTTTTTGTACATAATAAAGCTACATTTTTTGAGATTGTTATAGTGTGCATTCTATATTCTATATACATTTCAATATTTAAAGCACTTGAGGGAGTGTTTATATGGTTTGCACCTGGCTGTTCTTATACTATTTTGTCTCTCCATGTGCTGTTTTGAGAATTGTCATGTAATTGTGAACATGGCAGTATGTTTATGAATGCAATGCTAGAATATGAGCAGTTTCCAGTGTTAATCACACATTTTCTCTGAATATCTCTGTGTGGATGGTCGCTAACATTTGGACATGACCATTTACTAGATATACCCCAATGAAAACGTGTGCATTTAATTGTGAATTTTTTTTTTTTTACATTGGAGTTATATCTAAAAACGGCTTGGGAAAGCTGCAGATTTTTGGCTGTGGCTGTCGAATCATAGACTTCCTGTGCCTGTCGAATCATAGACTTCCTCATGTAGCTCAATGAGACGTCTTTGCAAAGCAGGTGCTCTGAGCCACTGCTGCCTTTTGAGTCTTGCTCCACTGAGTTAACCTACCAGGAAATAACAGGACCAGTTGTCTGTTTGACACTCGGGTTGGTGTAATAAGGTTTATTTAGAAAACTGACATTTTATTTTGAAGAAAAAAAAAAAAAAAGAGGACATGCTCTTCACACATAAAGCACCACTTCAGAATGCTGAAGTTCTGTAGGGGTCTGGAGTGTCCATTTAACCACACACACAGGCTGTAGACATATACATTACTAGCTACTTTACTCAGTCTTAACGTGACAGTAAACCTAATATCCAACATAATTACACACACAAGCATCCATAGACACACACTTACATCATAGGTGAAAACAGTCCTGAATTTTCCAGGAAAGTCCTGTATTTTGGGGGTACGGTCCCAGAAAAAAAATAGATCTGTTGATCCGGTTGTACATTATCAAAATGCCAAGCTCTTCAACAGAGCCCAATGCTTGATTTGCTTGAGGGGGAGGCTGTAAGTCAGTCTGGCCCTCTTTAGGCCACCTGCCCCACACTATCTTTCCTGGCAGGTATGCCTCACACGCATAAAATTCTGGTTCTTGCTTTCAAATCTCTACATAATGCTGCTCCCACCTATCTGTCCTCCCTTATACACAAGTATGTCCCGTCTAGGCCCTTACAATCTGCTGAAGACTTACATCTATCTTCTGTTCGTACTCCCACCTCTGATGCTCACCTTCAAGATTTCTCGAGGGCTGCACCGTTCCTGTGGAACTCACTTCCCTCCTCCGTTAGATGCTCACCCAATCTCCACTCCTTAAAAAAAAATCGTTAAAAACCCACTTCTTCATAAAAGCGTATCCATTAAACTGTTAATAGCTCCTGACTGATTCCTCTTCTGCAACAGTCATTCGTCTAATACTATCCTTACCTTTTTGTGTCATTTTACCCCACTCCCTCTAGCATGTAAGCTCATTGAGCAGGGCCCTCAACCCCTCTATTCCTGTGTGTCCAACTTGTCTGGTTACAACTACATGTCTGTTCGTCCACCCATTGTAAAGCGCTGCGGAATTTGATAGCGCTATATAAATATCATCATAATAATAATAATAACAACATCCCCCTCTCTCCACTATACTACCATCTACAGGGTGCAACAGAACCGATTAAGCAGTTTTGATGGGTTATAAAAAATTAATTGGAGGTATATAGAGAAAAAAAAAAAAAAACTGTTTATTTTCTAATTCAGTGTTTCCCAACCCAGTCCTCAAGGCACACCTACCAGTCCAGGATTTAGGGATTACCCAGTTGTGTCTAAGGTGTTTTTATTTCTTCTTTGTAAAAACACCTTAGACACAACTGGGTAATCCCTAAATCCTGGACTGGTAGGTGTGCCTTGAGGACTGGGTTGGGAAACACTGTTCTAATTCAGCAGTAAATACGATTTTATATTCATTAAGTTTTGAAAATAATGTCCTCGAGAAGGCGGCCATTAGCAGCAGCACACTGTTGGAGACTATCTCTGATGTTTTGTACAGCTTGTTCACACATATCGCAGTACATGGCGTTAACATCTTCAATAATCTGCTCCATTAACTCTGGTAGGGTGTGACAGATGTTTGAACACTTTTTCCTTTAGATATCCACCAAGGGAAAATAAATTTATAAATGTAAAAAATAAATAAATTTACAAAAAAATAAATACATTTGCAAATGCTTAAATCTGGTGACCGCGCCGGCCACCCCACATGACCCCTCAGAGAGACCAGACATCTGGGAAATATTCCTTTCAAAACATTGAGTGAATTTTGGGCTGTAGCCCCATCCTGTTGGAATCAGAACTCCCCCAATTCCTCTTCAACAATCTCTTCCATTCTGGGCTGCAGGAAATTTTCCAACATTGAGACATAACATTCAGGCCTATAACTCCCAATTGTGATCCGGCACACCACACCATTAGTTTAGGGGATTGTAGCGGCCTTTCATGAATCATTCGGGGGTTATTTTGAGCCCAGTAGCAGACATTTTACTTATTCACAGCTCCACTTAGATGAAAATGTGCCTTGTTGCTAGTGAACAAAGCTGCTGCGGGAGGGATCAGTGCAAGCATTTGCTCACACAGATTTCTGCAGTTGGCATAATCAGCTACACTCAATTCCTGAGCCAACATCATCTTGTAGGGATAAAACTAGAAATCTAAATGAAGAATCCTCCTCAGACTGCAGTCTGATATTCCCAAAGCAACAGTAACAGAGAGAACGTCCTGGCAACTACTCAATTTCTGCTCTCACCAGGTGCACATTTTCCAGACCTGCGTCGGCCATATGTACCTCTTCTAAGCATGGTACCAGTTTCCTCCAACCACCTAACCCATGACCGATTTGTGTTCGAATTAGGAACAGCGTTGTTGCGCGGGATGTTGAACCGTCACTGAAAAGCTCTTTGCATCGCGATCACAGACTGGTTGTTTTCAAAATACGCCCACACGGCAAAGCTCGATGTACTCCGGTCCAAACCATATTCTCTACTAAAATGGGGTGACGGACGGAACACGAGACCAGGTGCACCTGCCTCCCCCCATCACAGCCTGAGCGTAGAGCCCTCCAAACCGCTTAGACGATTCTGCCACACCCTGTATGTCTCTTTCCTGTCGTCCTTTCTAAAACCCCTTCCTAACCTTTCCCGTGTACAACTGCAAAGTGGGATCATGTCAGGAAAGAAATTCTCTCCCAGTCTTTTCTCAACTACTATGTTTAAATACCGGTGAGCAATATAGACTAGGAAACTGCTTTTTATTAAGGGTCCCCAGTCTGTGACCACCTCAATTCCTTTAACTCAGCACACAGGAAAAATCAAATAGTCCACGCATACAATCATACGGAAGGCCCACGTTAAAAGGATAAAGACAAGGGATTCTGCATTTATTGAAGTCATCAGAATATCAATGCTTTGAGACCCATCACTCAGCTTTCAGAGATTGACTGGTACGTCACAACAGACCGTTTTAACACTGAATGCCTGCCCTAGGCCAAAGAGATGTTCTGCTTATTTAGCTTTGGCAGCATCATTCAGTCCTGAAGTAAATCATTCCATTTTAAATTACATTTTGGAATAAGAGAGAATAACAGATTGCTATGATGGTAATTATTGCAATTGGCACTTATCAGGTTAATATAAGTTTTTCTTAAATATAATCTGGGTAATAATCTGGTAACTGACTGGATAAACTGATGTTATTTTATCTAGGGATAATGTAACTTGCTTAAATACACGGAATAGAGTAGGTTAGTTTACAAATATAGAGTTTACAAAATATACTGCCATTGTGCCTGCTTTATGTATATCTTCCAACACAGCATGTCACCAATATTCCCCTCATTAGAATTTAAGTGATAAAAGCACTCAAACGGCCTAGTATGTAAAAATGATGCCACTGATTTGGGGGACATGTCCAGTAACTTTATGTTTTAGGTGAAAAAAGCGCCAATATCCGGCTAACATCACCTCATTTGAGTTACATTTATGATTGGCCTCAGAGGCACATCTGTGCTTTTGTTCAATCTCCAACGCATGCCAGTGTACCCTGTATCATGAAGTCATTATATTGCCAAAATTAATACAGTGACAAATTCAACATCCTAGAGCCAGGTAACTATAACTATGCAATCTCTACAACAGAGGTTCCCAAACTAGTCCAGGATTTAGGGATTATCCAGTTGTCTATGGTGTTTGTTTATTTTTTTAAACACCATAGACAACTGGGTAATCCATAATTTCTGGACTGGTAGGGGTGCCTTGAGGACTGGTTGGAAACCACTGCTCTACTGGCTGCATTATGTTATCAGAATAATGAGTTGCCACATGGTGGAATGAAATGACACACAACACATTATGTGAAAATCTTGCACTACGAATGCGGAGAATTACGCATATACAGAGACATATAAATAAACGCAAAAAGGTTAACATACAATCCGATCTTAAATGTTGGTGCCGCCCAGATTAAATGTGCCCTATTTCAGTTCTATTCACTAAATGAGAAATCATGGGGAAAAAAAAAAAAAAAAATCACAAGAGAATTGCAAACTTCAAGCAAAAAAAAGTTGTAAATATCCTCCACTTCTGCTTATCTTGTCCTAAAAATGAAAACCCTCTAAAAAATTCCCAGTTAAGTGAGCAATCTTATCGTTAAAAATGATCAATGAAAGTAACACTTTGCACAAATAGAAAACTCGAAATGTCAATAAAAGCTGGGAACACTAGCAACACCCCCCTTCCCAAACTGGTGAGCATCAGCAATCTCTTTATAACTTTATAAATATCCAGGCATGCAGACATACATTGACCTTACAGTATGTTAGACACAGTAAGGTGACAGGATGTGTCTGTGTATAATGTTATGTGATTATTCAGACATAAAGAAGGGTAAAAAAAAAAAAAAAAAAAGGAATGAAAGAAATATACTTCCATCCTGGGAACCGGATACTTTTCAGCCCACTGGGGGTTATTTTCAGAACAAGGGGGCAGACGCTAACATTTGATACGAAGTAGGGCAGGCAATCAACCCACGCTTACATGAAACTCTGATGTGTTGAGAATGTGACGACCATCTGGGCTCCAGCAGGAAGACACCAGCCCTGCTGACCCTTCGTCAATCTTACAGTGCCAGTCAGGCTGCTCCAGAGACCAGACCTGGATTGGGGCAAAAAAAGAGGGGAGGGGGGAGAAAACAAACATTTAGCTGCTGGACCAAACATACCGTGGTGCTCATCTTAACATCCAGAACTATGAAGGACTGGCGCTGGATCCCTCTCCAAAAGTAAGACATACTGCATGCAACAAAAATGCCTAAATGCTTTCAGGCCTCATGGGAGCGCACCAATTATTTAGCCATTAAAAACCAAATGCTTTTGGTAAAATCACCGATACGATTAACTCTTGAAAAAAGTGTGCTGTGTACATTGCTTATGATAATGCTAAACATTACTAGTTGGAAGATATGACAGATATTTCAGCTGTTAAGTAGTAGTCAGACACTGTATTTGACAACTGTTGTTTTGGATAAAGAAACGTCCTGTGGAATAAATCAGTGCGGCAGACCGATTTTGTTCTGTGAATTTTTAGGGATTTAATTATCCTGTTTCATTCTTTAATACACTATGGCAAACAATTGGTAGTTAAGCATAGTCAACGTGCTCTAGCCCTGCAGATAATGGGGATCTTCTTACAGGTTGTTTGTGGAGTCACCTTGTTCTAAGCAATGGCAGTATGAAAAGCTTGCAGTTTCTGAATCCTGTTTAGTTAACCCCTTAATGATCAATTACACAGCAGTACATGACAAAAAAAAACAAAAAAAAAAAACGACATTTTCTGAACAACTGGGTTTTAAATATCAAATGCAACAGTTACAATCAGAATGCATTTTCATTTTGAAACATTTCAGTCTATGGATATAGTTAATACCAAAATACATTTAATTTGGGTTACTCCGTGTATGTGTTTTATATAAAGTTTTCTTTCTAAAGCAACAATTTATTTACAATGTTTAAGACAAAATTTAAGTTTGGATAAACCCTAAAAGTCAGATTTTTATGTCATTGAACCGTTTTGGCGTATATATATATATAAAATCATAATTTTACCATATCTAAACACTGTGCTATGGTGAGATGATAAATGACATTAAAAAAATAAATAAAATTTTTTTTATATATATATATATATATATATATATATATATATATATATATATATATATATATAAAATTTATTTATTTTTTTAATGTCATTTATCATCTCACCATAACACAGTGTTTAGATATGGTAAAATTATGATTATTCAAGATAACTGATCCATGAAAAGTGACTTTGCTAACAAGTGTATTGTGTACACAGAAAGCACACATGCCATAGCAATGCAGACAGTGAACAGGACAATTAGTTATCTCAACCTGCCAGTGGCTGTCACAGTAATGACTACAAGTGATTAATGATCCAATTGGCGGCAGGTACCAAAAATATAAAGATAGTTATACCATTGGTAGAATATCCCACTCCCAAACTAGGTAGATACCATAAAGATGTTGGTAAATATGTGATAGGTGAGTACATTGGTATGTGTTCACTGCAAAAGTAATGCTGTGTTACTGCCAGGGTGGCATGACACAAACAACACACATAATGCACATTGTGCTGCACAAGCATTATTTGTTTACATTTTTCCCCTCATTTCAAATTTGCCAGCTTTATTGTTCTTAGTGGATTATAAATACAAAATGAATGGTCTAGAAAGACCTCTGTTTTTTCCCACAGCACTGTGGAGGGCTATCCTGGTAATTCATTGACAATAGTCTAATAGGGATTAATGGCTAATGATACCAGGTGCTACCAGCTGTAATAGCACCAAGTTTGTGTGTCATGCTGAAATCTAGGAAGGGCAAGAAGGCATATTAATAAACTGTTCTTTGTCAGAATGGTGCATATTTGTCGTACTTTGCCAATCTGATGCAACTCATAGAGAAATGCTTGCCATGTCGGGCAATGCGTGAAGACGCTGAATGTGAGTCTGACGATCACTAGAGGCATGGTTTCAGAGAAATGTAAACATTACCGTTTCGCTAAAACATTGTCCAAATAAATGGACAATATCTTTGCTAGCACTGCAAGCAGGCAAATATTACTTCAAACTATTCAAGGTAATGATAATTTGCAAATGTGCATCCTACTGGATGCATCCAGTCCTTAACATTTTTTTTTTTTTTTTTTAAATCAGTGCTTCTAACATATTCTGAATCCTATACTTTGTATAGGATTCGAATGTAAAAAGTACTGATTTTAAACCAGACAACAAATGCATCCGAACGATTTGTACAGATTTGGTCGGGTTGGTCAAATTCCACTCATAATTAGCTTTAGTAAAAGAATTGCCATTCTGGTCAGAATTTGTTCAAAATGTGGGGCTAGTGAATTAACCTGTTTTATAATTTCATACATTTTCTCGTTCTCTATAAGCCTGGTACTTTGTCCAATTAAAAGTTCAATTAACAGAGCAGAAGATTTAAAAAAAAAAAAAAAAAAATTCTTATAGTGAACACACTGTTTTCTCATAGAAAAGCCTCTGGTTGGACCATTTTGCCAGCTCAGAGCATATATGCGTGCTCTATGCCGGCAAGGAAGATTAGGTGGGAATTACTATTAATAAATCAATAAATAAAAAAACACAAGCACTCATATAGGGAGGCAGATATGGCTGTATTTGATGAAGGAGGGAGGTGAGGAGACAAACGCAAAAATGATACCAAGTCCGTTGCCAGCACAATGTGTGCACTGACAACAAAAAGTAAATTTTGCACAGAACGGACATTAGGCAGGCCAGAACACAGGGTGTAAATAGCACCCAGCACAAGTGAAGACACATAGAGGTTCCTTCTACCATGACAAACTATAAAAGCAGAAGTGGATGTAGTGGTTGGAGTAACCCGTTAAAGAGTAACTTCAAGAATCATGACAACTTCATGGTGCCTAAAATCTATATGTGCAGTTTTTTTTGTTTTATAAACCTGCACATAGAGAGTTTAACCCCTTAAGGACCAAACTTCTGGAATAAAAGGGAATCATGACATGTCACGTGTCCTTAAGGGGTTAATCCACCTGCTGCCTGCGGTGTAACGCCACCTACAGCGGCATTAATCAAGGTGTCATGAGTCAGAACTGGATTTTCAAAACATTTCAATTAACAATTTAATTAATGGCTTGGAGCGCTTAACTGATGCACTCAGGCCAATAAATGAGTGGCAGGATCATAATCATTAGCTCTGCTGTTATAAATCCTGCTTCAGTGGAGGAAAAGGTAGGAAAAACCATTGTAAAACAGTTTACCCTATTACCAGAGAACGGCACCAGGGTACTTCATCATCATAACCAATACAGTGTTCTCTAGTGGTTATGATGGTTGGAGCAACCCTTTAACTTAAAGTGGTTATTGTGCTACGAATGTCCCTTGAAAATTTAACAATTGACCCTACTAGAAATAAGACAGACAGTCATGAGTGGCTATAGGCATCTGTTAGCCCACAAGTTAGGGAAGTGACAATGCCTAATAAGTAATTTCCCTGCTAGAGAATATGGGATGACTTATTCCTACATCCAATACGTCCATGAATTTTCCTACATCCAATACGGTGGCAATCGTCAAAACAGGCAAAATCTTTGCTTATGTATATGTTTTCATCTATAAATTTGCATGTGATTTCTCCGTCAGAATGTACTGATTAAATCTTTAAGAAGTTAATGCATAGTTTGTAGAGCACAGAATTCCTTTCAACTCCAAGCATTTAAATCATTATAGATCTCAATCAATTACTGCCTACTGATTTCAACATTATAATCCTATAGAAAATACCATCATTTGATCTTACCTGCACAATGCCCCTCTTGTACATGGCACAAAGGATGAACATGGAATCTGCAGACCATTCTAAATACTGAATTTGATCCAGGCAAGTGTACAGCTGTAAAATCTGTAATGTTTTGACATCACGGATAACAAGTCTATACTGTACACATGATGCCTACAGAAATAAGAGCGGTATGACATGTTAGAATGCAGCAAAATATATACATTTTCTTTACTATAAAACTCTTTTCAGCTTTATTATTCCCTACTGGACACTTAACAACACCGCACCTCCACCCTCGAAATTTAATTTAAAAAAATAAATAAATAATAAATCATCTTTAAAAACGTACCTTGAACCAAATACTGAACAAGGTCTTCCACGCTAGGCACTGGAGGCACTTTCACCCCAAAAATTAGTATTGAATCCGGTTTTCATCTAATAAATCCCACCACTGTATTTTCCAATGTTAAAAGGAACACTATACTGTTAGGAATTTAAATCTTTATTCTTAACATTATAGTGACCCTGCCCCTATTTCTGCTGGTTATCCCCCCTCATGATAATTGAAGTGCTCTGGGTGCAGTGTCCCTGTTCCCTTAAACCTGCAATGCAAGTAGGACTGCATGAAGCAACGCTGGACATGCTCACACTTTGCAGACATCCAGTGTCAAGCAAAACCTGACAGGAAGGCATTGAGCCAATGCTTTCCTATGTGGAAGGCCTGCTGCACCCACGGCACCTCACGCACATTCGCAAAGGTTTCCCTCCCCCATCAGCTGACGTAGGCAGAGCCCGACCAAGCACCAAAAGGACCTCGGCGCTGGTATCTGGTAAGTCAGGGTTTGACAAATTTGCTTGGAATCTAGCAGTCAGCTAGAAAAGTTAGGAGCCAGGGAATCAACGCCAAAAATACAATTCTTAAAGGGACACTATAGTCACCAGAACCACTACAGCTTAATGTAGTTGTTCTGAAGTCTATATCCTGCCCCAAACGCTTTTCAATGGAAGTACTGAATTTCCAGATAGCACTTTGCTGTCTGGTGACAGTCTCTAGAGGTGCTTCCTGGGTTAGTGCTTCACACTGTGCAGGACCTATGTTAATGTTCCCTATAGGGATGCATTGATTCAATGCATCTCTATGAGAAGTTGATTAGTTGCTTGCGCAATAGTCTCCCAATGCTTTACAACTGGGAAGCATCTAACTGGCTGAGATTGTCAAGATTGATAATCTCAGCCATGGAGGTGGGGCTAAACTTAGTATGGCATATATATTTATATATTTTTTTTTCACTTTTTTCTTTTTTTTTTTTTTACTTTTTTCACCAACAGGGGGACTGCCTGGCAGCACTGTGGACACCTATTGCAGCCATGTGACTGCTCTTTTAGAGTGGGGATTGTCTGGGCTGTCAGACAGTCCCCCCAGTGAAGCATTAGACCAATCACCGGTAGCGATTGTTAAGTACATGAGAAAGGGAGGGTAGGGGTTAATTTTTTTTTTTTTTTTTTTTTTAAACTGAGTGCCTCGACCCCTTGAGGCACTGAGTACATGCAGAGCATCAGAAGCCTGCCTGATGGCTTCCGATGCTCTGCACTACACTGCCGGGCACCACGTGGGCGACAGTGAGGAGGGTATTGCAGCAATGCCTCGACATCAAGGCATCGCTGCAACACCATTAAAGCTGCTGGAAGCGATCATGACCGCTTCCAGCGCTCTAATTCCGGTACGTCCGTGGTCTTTAGGAACTGTTTTTTGTCGGATGTACCTGATACGTCCTTGGTCACTACAGGGTTAAAAGCGCCACTAAAGGCACCCAACCACTTCATCTCAATGACGTTTTCAGGGTGCAGTTACCCAGCAATGAAAAAAAACAATTTTACCCTTTTTAGGAACGGCAATGTTTTTACTGCATGGTTAAACATAATTCTTGCGGCTTTGCTTCCGCTGTGCGATCCAAGTTAGAATTGGTTCTCAATCAAATGCTGCTCACAGAGAGCATTCAATTGGCACAGCATGGCACTAGCCTCTTAATGCGTCCCTGAACAGAGACTGGCGCAGCAAGCGCTGAAAAGCAAGTAAAAGTGAAAAAGGAGGGGTCAACCAAATCATTAGTGGGACACTACAGCGTTAAGAATACAGGTTTGCATTCCTAACACTAGTGTTCCTTTAAAGTATTTATCATAACGAACGCAAGTTAGCAGAACACGACAAGGACCAAGAATAAGTACCCTGGCACCTAACCTGGTTAAAGAATAAAACCATTTGAGAAAGGTTTGACAAAATTACCTAGGGTCTACCAGGCACCTTCTCCAACTCAGCTACATACACAGCTTGGTTATTATTATTTTGCTAAAACTCGCAGTATAGTTAAAGAAATGCTCCAATCACCATAACCACTACAGCTGGCAGGGCATTCCTAGCACCATAACAACTAGAGTGCTCCTTTAACCCCTTAAGGACCAAACTTCTGGGGGAAAAAAGGGAATCATGACATGTCAGATATGTCATGTGTCCTTAAGGAGATAATGAATCTGTTTAAACTTTAAAACAATAAAATAAAATAAAAACTTTCATAGATCAAAGCATCCAAAGTGCACCATTCAACTTTGTGAAACTAATTTGTTTTGAAGAAAATAGTAATTCAAAAGGCTAGCAGCTCACATGTTCGACACCTGTACTGACCCAATATTATTAATCAGACTGATAGTATACAGAGAGAGGACACCCCACTGGAGCATGTCCAACATGTGCATGACCACTCCCATCACCCTCAGCCCCTGGAGGGTGTCAGGGCAAGCTGGACCCACACTCACCAGGTATTTGCCATCAGGGGAGAACCTGCCCAGCTGGCTGGAGAGCTTGAACACCTCGGAGAAATCCATCCTGCTCAGCTCAGCACCACAACAGCAGCAGCTGGAGCCATTGCCAGGGTAAAGGGGCGGGGCGATACGTGACACGCAACGCAACGACGTGACCGAGTGACAAACACTAGAGACAACAGAACCGCACCGGCTTATCCATAACCCACCAGGCGTTGCGCTCCCCAAGCAGTATACTGTATTCACATGAACATTTTGTCTAGTCAAGAATGACTGATAGTTGTTTTGAGACAGTCGCAGCTGTGTCTCTGGTGTTTAGGACTCTATCAGACTGTTAGAAATAGGCGTGACTTGCAAACATTCACCTTGAGGAGGCGTGGATAAACACATTGGTGGGCGGAGCCAGGTCATATTTATGTCAGCCTCTAAAAAGAGACTGCTAGGGGGCGGGGTCATGTCTAACTGACACAGCAGGGGGTCGAGTCAGGTGACGGCTGGGGGGGCGGGGCTACTTGTATAACAGATGTAGAGAGGAGCTGTAGGCGGGCTCGTGCGGCGGCAATATCTCCTGTCACTGAGGCGGGAAGGATGCCGGGAAATTTTACCTCAGAGTAGACCCGGGCATTTTCCCGGTGTGACCCTAATCACAGGGGAGGGCAACAGCTCTATAAGCAAGCCACGAAATATGTGCCATAATGTTCATAAAACAAATTAAAACAGCAAAATAAATAAAACCCAGTGAGTGGTAACTGTCACAGCTTGTCCAGTGAATGAATGTGAGAAATGGGTTCATTAATAAAATAAAAAAATAGGCTTTTACAGCAATATTGTAAAATTATTACATTTATTCCAACGGGTTTATTCACTAAGGTGGGAATTGTCAGGAGTTCAAAGTGAATGTAAAATATCAGACCAAACTGAAAACACATATCTGACTAGGAGAATTATTTTTCTAATAAAAATTAAATTACCAAAAAAAAAAAACTTTTGTTGGCTGTGTGTTGACAAAATGGTTTATTGGTTAAAAAACCAAAAGGATCCTAAAACTATAAATCCCGAAAAATACATTTTAGACAAACAATCAACAAATGACAGGCATTTTCCGAATGGATGTGAACGTACTCCGGCTTTTATCCCTTTATTCTCGAATGATACGGAATTATCAAATTACAGCACCAAATAATTTCAACGCAGGACAAAACACACATAGCCCCGTGAAATTAAACAGAATTGGCAAATGGCTGCCTAGAAATAATTTTCTACAAAATACAGATTAAGGAACAGCATACACATAAAAATACAGTTTTACATTTTTACAAAGGCTCCTTAAAATCACCTATTTCAGAAAATAAGTAAAAGATGTTTTTGGGCTCCCATGTTAAAATTACTGTAGGACCCACCAATATTGGGGTTCTGTCACGTAATGGTGGACTTAACACTATATGGGGGTTCATATGGCCATATAGTGTTAAGCCCACCACTACATCACAGTACCCCAATATTAGTGGGTCTTACACTAATTTTAACATGGTAGACAAACAACAACTTTTATTTGTTTGTTGAGATAGGCGATTTTAAGTAGCCTTGTAAAATGTTAAACTGTATTTTGTTGTGTACTATTTCTTAATCTGTATTTTGTAGGAATTTTGGTCTCCACTGCTGAGAAATGCAGGTTCCGGGTGTGCCCCCATTTCCCCTTTTATCTGTGTGAATAAATTTCGGCCTAATTTCTACAATTTGGTTTGGCAGACATTGCAAACAGACAACTGCTAATTCTAATTCAAGTTATCATTACAAAAAGCAATCATAAGCACCATTGCTATAGCTAAACTCCAAGGGAGAATGGGTCTACTCAACAAAGGGGTCCAATATCCCCAATATATTAAAAGAAAATGTATTTGGGCTAATAAATGTATATTATTAAATGTACAATATGTTACGAATCATTATTTTAATCATTGGCTTGTTGACTGCTTGCGCAGATGGTATGCAAATGTTTGTTGCTTCACCTGCAAAAAGCAGATGAATTCATTTTGCAAATTTGCCTTGTAGCAAATTGAAATTTGAAATGTTAAACTGAGGTTAAAATAGCCAAGATGTGGCTATAGTTATGTCAGAGAATTTCTTCAAATTAGCTTTATTTGCAAATAAAATTGCAATTCGCTAAAATTTGTTATTTACCTGGTATTTCCAGAGGAGACACTACACAAATAATTTAAAAAAAAATCTAATAAATAAGATTAAAAATTAGGCAAATGTATTCATAGTATCTCCCACTGCAGGAAACAGTGTACACTTTATTCTAATCTGTATTTTGGTTATAGCTCTGGTGGGTGGTTTTAATAAATTAGTATCAACATTGCTACAGACATACACAATTATGAAACTTTCATTTTTTATTTTTACTAATAAATGCTGAATAAATACATAGATGCCTTTGAAAATACACTACATTTGTCAACAATTTACAGTCTTTGTAAGCAATGGCAATTATATGGGAACTAATTTAAGTCTGCCTGGTAACTAATCTGATTACTTAAGTGCTATTGAAAGTATGTAGCTTATTCGTTTATGTATCCTTGCAGTAATGATGGTGCCTGTATCCTTACAATACAGGATCACTGTAATATTCATTTCTAGTTCATACAATATATTTGGCTCTTGTACATGTTTCCTTTAAATGTTGCAGAATCTGTTTACTTTAACATTCTAATACATATTGTAATTGTATTTCATACAACTGTAACTATTGAGAAACAACGTGGATATCGTTGACATGTTTGCAGGTGTCCCAAGACATTTGCAAATAATAGGCTACTAAGGACCACAGCTAGTTATTAATATTACGATTATTTTAAGACACAATCGTTTCCTTGAGCTCCTATTACACTTCTAGAATGACGTGTTCAAATTATTCCATATTATATTTGAGATATATTTAACGGAGATAAAAGCATAAATAAGACACAGTTAAAAAAAACGTTCCAAGTTATTTTTAATAAAAACGTACATATTATATATGCACTATGGCTTGTAATAAAGCTTATAATTCTCTAGTAATGATTCATAATTTAAATTAATTTGGAAATATATCCTACATTTTAAGAAATACAAGATAGATAGATAGATGTTTATATATTCCATTTATTAAGCATATTAGAGAAGCAAATATGATATGCATGTAACGTTTGTATGCATCAATAAGATAATATTACTTTGTAATTTTTAGATTTTACATTATATCAAATAATAAAATACACAACATAAGAGGCATGAATTAAATATAATTGCATTCTTCCACTACATTTCAACATATCGTGCGCATTGTTTATTTCCATAAATTTTTTAAAGAAATCACTACAACTGTCAAAATAGCAATTTAGAAACAAAATGTGTCACAAACAGTAGTTGTTATATTTGTAACGAAACTCAGAATAGCAATAATTTAAAATCCGAATTATAGAATTAAATTTTAAAAAGCCAATCTGTAGCCATACCTGAGTTGGAGATTTTTATTCATATTTTTTTTTTGTTTGCGTACATTATGTCTTTCATATTTCAGAGTTTAGTGTTTGAATCCCTAATATTTTTGATCCCATTACGGACATGTTGCCATACAAAAACTCCATTCTCCATATGAATGAGTTACATTAACCCCTTAAGGACACATGACATGTATGACATGTCATGATTCCCTTTTATTCCAGAAGTTTGGTCCTTAAGGGGTTAAACTGTAATGCCTATCCGCTTGTAGCTACAGTAAGCTCTGTATACCCGGATTCCTGCAGCAGGTAGTGATTCCTTTCAGTGGACAGACAGCAAATTGCTTTAAATAGCGACAGCTGCACTCTACCAAAAAAGCAAACAAAAAAAAAACCGTATCTTCAATATTAATGTCATCCTCTGAAAATCACTATAATAACAGCCTACACGTTACTAGCTTTATAAGAAAACTAATAGCATTCTATAACTTAAATAACTCTTTTTAGTCCAGCTTATTAACCCTATCAGGTGTTTGCTATTTATTACCTCTATGACTGAAGTTTGCTTTGCAGTTATGGTTAGATCATCTCATTTGGGACTGTTGCAGACCCCCTAAAGCATGACATTCTACCCTTGTGGCAGCCTTATACCCACCACCCCCCTTTGCCCTCCTACCAAGAGACTTATCCCTTCCCGCCTGGTAAGAACATAGAGGCGGCTGGTTCTTGGTTCCCCCTCCCCCTTGTCCTGTAGATCCTCTTGAGCTTCAAACATTCATTACTGTCACCTACATCCCACTCTTAGACCTATAATCTAATGAGTGCTCTGCAGATCTTGGTCTCTTCTCTACTACTACAAAGGTGTCATCTGTTCCCACTCATCATTGGTTATGAAGAGTTAAAAAAAAAAAAAGCTTTGTGATTCTTTAATTTCTTGTGGCAAGCCAGGCTTATTGCATGTAAATACCCCAGGACCTGCCTTAGGAACACCTGACAGTGTGTGATTTGCACAGGGGGGAAGTGGATTGATCAAGCCTGTACAGCAGACCCTACCAAGCCACTTTCATGCCAGTGACGCTGATTAAACAGAGGACAGTGCAAGGCACCATCAGGACAGACTGGGACCTCAGGTAGATTGCTTATCTTGTTCTGTGTATAAATAAAATGTGCTCTCTGCTATTAGTTACAGTACAGACATCTATTTGGGGACTTATCTGCAACCTTCCAAACAAAATTCTTAAAGTATTTTGAGAAGGTTGATTTGTTGGGCTGTTGTATGTTTTCATGCCAAAGTGTGGGTTTGTGACATGCTAATGTGTGTTTGTTGTAATGTAGCTGTTTATTTATGAATATGCTCTAAAATCCATATCTCGATTTAAAGAATTTTGTGAACTGATACCAGAAGTAAGTTGATTTTCAGGAGAAAAATGTCATTCCTATTGTAATATATTTGGCTTATTTTTTATTTTTAACTATTTAAGCATGGACAGTTGCTTAGTTTTTTGTTGGCTGTTGTTTTTGTTTTCAGCTATGATTTTTATATGCATTATAAAGACATTTAGCTTTGAGTTTGGGAACTATAATCAAGGTATTAACTCTGTGCATGCAAAATGGGTTTCTAGTACTCAAGGGGTTACAGACTAGTAAATACTTTTATTATTAATTATTATTATTATTGGCATTTATATAGGGCTAACTTAATCTGCAGCACTTTACAATATTCTAAAGGGTGAAATTTAAAGGAACACTGAAGTGTCAGTGCCCCCATGACTGAGATTATCAATCTTTATGATCTCAGCCAAGCCAGTGCTCTTCCATATGACAGCATTGGGAGGATATTACGCATGTGCGTCAAAATACCGCGCCGCGCAAATCACTAGCTCCTCATAGAGGTCTATTGGATCAATGCATCTATACAGGAAATGATTAGAGCCTCCATGCAGGGCGTGGAGACGTTGAACATCAGTGCTGGACAAGGAAGAACCTCTAGTGGCCCTCTGAGTGACTGCCACTAGAGGTGTTCCATGGCAGCAATGTAAACACTGCCTTTCCTATGAAACGGCAGTGTATACAGTGCTAAAGCTACAGAGACAGGCTATAGACACCAGAACCACTACATAAAGCTGTAGTGGTTTTGGTTACTATAGTGTCCCTTTAACATTTATAATCACTTGGATGCAGTTGCGTTTGCATGTGATAATATTTGGCATGTTCTGTATCAGTTGAGTTATCAGGAGAAATTTGCAGTCGGAACTGATTGCGATAAATTCTATTAATTATTGCCAGGCTTGATTGAGGCAGCAAGATTTTTCTTGTATACCTTGAGTTATTGGTAAATTGAGTCATCAGCAGACCTTTAGTACACATAACTAATCATAGAGTACTAGGGATTGTGTTGTTTCCAATTTGTGCAAGGCAGCTTGAATGGGAATGTATACAATAACTTGTCACTCGGAGATGGCAACTGTATTCAAGGTGTTTGAAGGATAATACATGGTGTGTGTTTTCTTTTCTTTGTGTTAACAGCAGTATATTTAATTACTAGCAAGGCTATTCACCAAGGTAAGAATTCAAAGTGAATTTCAAGGCCAAAATAACTGAATTGGAAAAGTTCTGTCATTCAGTTATGGTTTCAGTTTGTTTACCCTGGCCTTAAATTTGAAATTCACTTTACTGAATAATCCTGTATATTACTAGCACGGCTATTCACTAAGGTGAGAATTCAAAGTGAATTTCAGGTCAAAGTAGCCGAACTAGAAACATTCTGTTAGTCAGTTATGTTCTCAGTTTGTCTACTCTGGCCTTAAATTAGAAATTTACTCTGATTTCTTCCTTTAGTAAATAACCCTGTAGGACCTGATTCTAGCTGATTATATAATAGGTTTATTGAGGTGTGTACTCTAATATATTTACCATTAAATATGCTAATTGATACCAGCAGAGAAAAGATATAATGCCTTTCTTGACCACAATAAGTGTTAACCCACGAGCTGTCAGAGGGCCCTGAATGAAGTTGGCATATCTGTCATGTGTTTCTGGGTAAATATCATTTCCATGCAGCATGTCGAATGTTTCATCTTGCTGGTTATAGGATTCATATGCTGCGGGAATGAAACCAATGTATTATTCAAATGGAATTCCAAAGAAATGCCATTGAGTAGTTCATGGGATTCCCTTTGTAGCATTCATCAAGGCATTTCCATTTGAGAAGTGTCCATAAAAAGTAAGGGGCTTATTTGCTAAAATTTGAATCGTAGCAAGGAATCGGAATTGCAAATAGCTGATCAAATTAGCTTACCTGGGAATATTCTCCAATTCAGCTCAAGGTAGAGTTTGGCTATCCAGATTTTAGTTCACTACATTTCTGAGTTTAGTGAATATATCCCAATATGTATCTGGCAACTTTAACATCAAAAACACCCTTCCACGTACAGTACTTTAAATTGATAAAGGAACACTATAGCATGATATACAAATCTGTTTTCCTAGAGCTTACGTGTTCTCCTATGCCTTTAGTTTAAGGTTCCCCCTATCCCTCACATCTAAATAAAAAAAAATAGAAAAAAAGTGCAAGTTACTTTTTACCAGCACTGGCTCGTCTTTTTTGGTCCAATTCAATGCTCCTCATATAGGAACATTGGGGATGAAAAGCACACCGCTGTGTTCCTCCAATGAAATGGGGACTAGATGTCAGAACCGATTTTTGACTCGGTTCTCACAGCAGAAGAGCATCTAGTGGCTGTTAGGAAGACAGCCACCAGAGGCACATTTAAAGGAACACAATAGCGTTAGGAATAAACCTGTATTCTTAATACTGTAGTGTCCCTGTCCCTAGTTTTAGAGGTGCTGGCTAGGTCACCTCCTCCTGCTACATCACGGTGATGGTGGAACCTAATGCGCATGCATTGAGTTAACGTGGCCTTTAGTAGTCTTTTAAAGGGTTAATTATAATCTTCAATATTTGCAGGGTTATTCACTAAACAATAGTGTAATGAAAACCAATTTACCACATTTAAACAAGAACCACCAATTTGGAAAATTTGTCCAGCTTTGCTATAATCACAGATTGGGTATTTTAGATGTAAATTTGAAGTTCAGTTTTCAAATTGCTGCAATCTAATTTTTAACAATAAATCTAGTCATTTATATTTACTAAACAGGGACATAGAGATAATTTACAAGATAATTGTACATTATAGACCATAATGTCAAGGCTGGAAATATAGCGGAGTTAAAAAATGTTTCCAATTCAGTACTTTGGGCTAAACTGAGAAATGACCAAGGGGTTTATTACCAAAATCTAAATTGTAGCAATTTGAAATGCAGATGCTAAAAGATTTGTCTAAAATACTCAAACAGTGCCTATTGCTGAGTTGGAGAATTTTTCCACTTCAGATATTTTAGAGAGAATTTTGTAACTTGGATTTTAATTCAGTACAATTCAGAGTTTAGTAAATTTAAGATTATTTTAACATGAACCAATTCTTCGTATAATTAACTGTTTCAGCTTGACTAGTTTAGCCTAATATTTGTAATTCCCTAGTCAGTGAACAATAATTCCATGTTTACAAACAGTGCTGATTTTAGGGCTTTGTGGACCTGGATCTGTAAAATTTGATGGGCCTAATGAAAGTTGAATTTACATCTGGCTGTCTTAGTGGTTACGGACTACATGTGTGACCTATAGCAAACTTACTGCTGGTCCAAATTACCTCTGGACTCGTTCTGTGTGTTTGTGATGTCACATATCTGACTTAGAGGGTGCACTCACAACATTAATTAAAGACCAAGTGCCATGAGGCCATTAATAAATATGAAATTTTGAGTGCAAGTGCAACACCACTGCAGTGACAGCAGCACACTTCCTCTAAAAAAAAAAAAAGAATATTTATATTGTGGCTGTTTTAGGGCCAGTTATTTAACCCCTTAAGGACACATGACATGTGACATGTCATAATTCCCTTTTATTCCAGAAGTTTGATCCTTAAGGAGTTAAAAGGGCCTGGAAAATGTAATAAAGGGGCCTGGAGCTTCTTCTCCAATAGTCCTGGTGTTGATCTGGCTCTGGAATAAATCTGTGATTTGCAACCTGATTGCAAAACTTCTAAAATTGATATAATCTCTATCTTTACTGAATGCAAGAAGCCTTTTTTTCGGAATAAATGTTTCAATGTTATTTGACAGACATCACATTTAAACTAACCAGTGAATGTATAGACACAAAAGCAAGCATGGCTACCCAGATAAACGTGTCCTGATCCTTTAGTAAGCTTCAATGTTTATATTGATTAAAGGGGGAAAAAAAACTAAATCACTTTTGGAGTCAACTGTGTCTTTTGTCTTATTTGATAAAATGCAGATTTCAAGAGAAATAACTCCCCGACCAAATAGCCAGGAGGATCTACTTCCCCATTCTTCCAGAGCACTGTTTCCCAACCCAGCACTTGAGACCCACCAACAGTCCAGGTTTTGCCAGTATCTCCATGGGAATAAAAGAGGGAAATACATAAATCTTGGATTCTTTGGGGGGCCATGAGGACTGGCTTGGAAACCACTGTTCTAGAGCA